GGTGGTGTGGGACTTTTAAAAATATTGGCCCGCCCCAGCGGCTCAGTTGGTTGAGCATCTCATTCTGTGCACCAAAAGGTTTGCAGGTTCAATTTCTGGTCAGGACACATGCCTGGGTTTCGGGTTTGATCCCTGGTGGGGGCACATCTGGAAGGCAACCTCTGTCTCTCTCTCTCTCCCTTCCTTTCTCTAAGCATATATTCAGGTGAGGATTAAAAATTAAAAAGTCCTTGTATTGATTTTGCTCTTTAAATTATCAATCACAAGACTTGAAGTTAAAAAACAAACAGCTATCCCAAGTATGTGTTCTCAAATGGTTGTTATTGTTTGTTACCTCCAACTTTCCTATCAGAATTTAGGTGTGAAATTACCCAATACAGCTGCCAAGGACTCCCCTTGAAGAGGGAAAGGGATCCCTCCATAACCTTCACCGCTGTCTCCTCCACACTTTCTGGAAGCTACGTTCCTGGAGCAGACACAGTTCCTGAAAATGGTATTTGACAGGGCTCTCCTCTCACTCCACTAGAGAGAAACTAACCATGCTTTACCTAATTCCAATCCCTGGAAGGTTTCTCTACCAGAATAACAACAAAAATGACAATAGCTAATAGTTATTGAGTGCTTATTATTTGCTACAGCACTGGACTAAACCCTTTACATGTATTATCTCATTTTAATCCTTGGCGCCCCAGTCCATAGCTGTGATGAAATAAAGACACCCCCCCACACACAGAGGTTGCTGGCTCCCACACCAAATGTTTCTGAGACTCCTGCTCCACATCCAACAAATCAGTTCTCCAGTGAACTTCACACTTCACACAGCATCTGCTTTTAATCATTCTTTAAAAATATATTTTTATTGATTTCAGAGAGGAAGAATAGAAACATTAATGATGAGACAAAATCATTGATCAGCAGCTTTCTGCATGCCAGCCTTCCCACCCCCACCCCACTGTGGATAGAGCCCACAACTCAGGCATATGCCCCAAATGGGAATTGAATATGAGTTCCTAGTTCATACATCAATGCTCAACCACTGGACCACACCAGCCAGGCAGCATCTACTTTAAATCAAACGACAACCCCTCTGGGTCTAGACCAGGATGGGCAATCTTTTTGTGAGTGCGTGCCAAAACCAGCAAAATCTCTGACTCAAAATTCTTCTGCCTGCCAACCCTAATTTTTTGAGAACATGTTACGCCTACTTGATATCTCTTAAGGTGTACGTATGTGAAGAACCTTGAAGAAATAATAAAATTCATTCGAGTGACAAAAACACAGTATATGATGATGAAAAATACATTTATTTTTTAATGTATACATGTATACTGATAGTCCGACAGAAAACTTTATGACTCCGTTTGATATTATCAGTGGGACTTTTGCTGCTGCATCACTGATGACAGATTTTACATCAGGTTTATATTTCGTGACCTTCAGAAGTATGTACAAGCTACTACTTTCATCCATCAGGCTACTCCTATTACGAGACTTAACAAACTTCATCACTGAGAACAAAGATTCACAAGCGTATGTGGATGCAAACATGGAGAGTAACTCTGTTGCAAAGTTAAACAGAAAAAATTTTCTGGAATGGCATTCCAAGTCCTCAATAGTTCGTTTTCGACACTTCTCTGTGGTACTCCTGTCTCTAATCGCTTTTTTTCAATGTTTTCCAAGTCAACTCTAAGGTCAATAAATTTCTGCTTCCAAATTGAGCTACTCTGAAATTCAATCAACTGCATTTCAAAGTCAGCCATGTCTATCCATGAAAACATTTGTAAGTTTAGTTCCTCCAGTTTCATGCTGTCTGGAAACCTCATGAATTTTGCTGTCTCTTCCAGTTCTCTGAATTTCACAGATCTTGAGAAGAACTGCTCAATAGTTGACTCGATGATGTTTAAAAATAGCTCTTGAAGGCTTTGACTGTTCTGTCATCTTTTGGGAGGCCTTTGATGTGCCTCTTGAGGTTTGGGAAATATCTAAATCTCTCACCATTCACATCCCTCTTAAAGACTTCCAGTTTCTTTTCAAAAGCCTTTATGTAACCAAACATAACATCAAGTATCTCGCCAGTTCCTTGTAATTTAACATTTAAGTCATTCAAATGTTCACAAAAATTGTAAATGGAAGATTATAAGAGAGGGTTTCGCGTGCCAGCAGAAGTTACTGGTGTGCCATGTTTGGCACGTGTGCCAGGGGTTGCCCACCCCTGATCTAGATCATCTGCCATAGTGACTTAATATTAGCAGCCAACTACCAGACTATGACTAATCAGGGTCAGTCACTTTGTGGACTAACCGCCTGTTTTTGTAAATAAACCTTTATTAATGTGCTAGGCACTGTGCTGAACACTTGTTGGGATTGCACAGTACTTGGCTTCAGCATCTCTAATGAATTCTAAATTATCTGCTTGTAGGCAAGATGTTGAGCTACTACAGGGCAAGGACCATTATCTTCCTCAGTTTTATACCCTCAGTGCCTAGCCGGGTGCCCAGCACATAGCAACGTTCAAAAATGTGTGTGCAATGAAGGGCTGGAAAGTGAGTAAATAACCCCCGATAACTTGCTACACACCTGCATTTGGCTTGGTTTTATGGAAGAGCATTCCTGGGAGCACAAGGACACAGCTTCCTCACTCATAGTTTGTCCAGGTTCATCTGTGGGAACATCTTCAGGGAGTGCTGGTTCTGTAGCTGATGGGCGGAGAGTCTCCTTATCATCAGAATCAGGGCACCACGCTTTGGTGTGTCTCCAGGGCTGTTTAAGGCTCCACCCGGGGAATTACAAAGGCCAAGCATTTGTGATATGAATTAGATCTTGTTTCCAGAAAAATCCCAGGAGGCAAACAGTAGAGGTGACATCATTGCTTATTAAAATGACGGTGCTGCAACCCCCACACTGCCTCATTGACACGTGACGCCCCGCCTCTCTACTCAGCTTCATCTTACTCCATCCTGGTCCACTGAGCCCGAAAGTATGCAGGCACACTCCTTCCACCTCGGGGCCTTTGAACATACCGTCTGGAATGCTCTTCCTCTTCTGTTTGCCTGCTCATCTTTCATCTCTTAGTTCAGATGTCACCTCCTCTGGAAAGCCTTCTCTCAACCCTCCGCCCTTGCGCTATGCCCCGGCTGCATGCTGTCACGGTGCTCAAAGCTTTATTTCATAGCACTTAGCAGTTTCCATGACCTATTTGTGATTATTTCATTAAGGTCTCTCTCCCCCACCAGGCTGTAAACAGCTGGAGTCTGCTCTGCTCAGTTGTGTGTCTCCTCCAGTGGCCAGCAAAGCAGTACTTTGCTCAAATCATTTCCGTTTTTTGTTAGATCTCCTAAACATGCATTTGGCTGAGAACCCAGAAATCATCCTGATGGATGTGCCCTCTTCATTTGATAAACTCTCAAAGACCATGCTGGTTTTTAGCCTGCCTGGTCAGCTGTGGTCCCGATTAATATGCCTGGTTTCTCAATCCAATCTTATCACTGTTTTCTATCCCTTATAAAGTGGTTGCTAAGATTATTCTGTTTAAGGCCTAGAATGATGAACCTTCCTGAAATGGATGCTCACAAAATCGATCTCAAATGGTTCAGGGAAACCAAGGTGTACTACTTCAAAACCACTATGTAACTGCAGGTATCTCAAAGGCGGGGGGTGGAATCTCAGGTCAAGGCCACCGAGGAAAACTACAGGATCGAGTAGCCATGGCATGCATAAGGGTTCAAACCTCAGCCATGTTCCTGAAATGAGCCAACCTTACCCCACGGAGCCTCTCAATTATTTTATGCATTCTACTAGCACTTTTTAGGTAAGACTGTTTTGGGTTTGGTACTATTTTGATTCAGAATTTACTTCTTCGGGGATATTTCTATTTGTTGAAATGATCTGTTCCCACAAATCCTAAAAATACCCTTTTATCAGTCTCTTCTGATGGCTGAGAGAATTTCTGGCAGGCAAGTTATAGTATAATTTAGTTGCCTCCTCTTAAGATAAAGGATATGAATGATATAAAATATAAATGCTAAAATCTAGTTCTATCCTGCAATTATTTTAAACATGCTGAGGCTGCTTCTCTTTAACAGACATTGCTCACATTTAAATAACTTTAGCCACAAAAAGAAAAACAAACGGACAAACATGTGTCTTTGCTTTCTTTCTCCTAAACTCTAAGGAACTCCAATTGCAACCAGGGGAGCAGTGGGCAGTGGCAGCACGCCCCGGGCTAACCCCTGAACCTGTCTCCAGGGCCTCCTTTGCTTCTGTAACTGGTTTCCTGAGTCCACGCAGCCCTGGGGCTCATTTCTTCTGCCTCTGAGACGTTCTTCTTAAAGGGCCAGAGCAGCTCCGCCTATACTCACTCCAGTTGCTATCCTCTTGCCTTTTCTATCTTATGCCCTTCCTTTGTTTCACTTCCCAGCTTTAATCGACATACTCTCAAAATAAAAATACTAACTTTAGCCACAAAATAACTTTTGACTTTTCAAATCTTTTCATTCCCGACATTTTCCTCCTTAGAAGCTAATCAGTGTTCTTTTCACAGGCAGGTTGACACGTGGCCTAAAGAGAAATGTGATCGCATCATGAAGAGGAGATTAACATTTGATTCTCAGATAGGAAGGCAGTCTCTGCACATAGGTTTCTGACTTGGGGGCGATAGTTCAGAATCAATGATCCCTTTCTTAGATGCTAGACCAACCAGCCTAGCCTGAGGGGAAAAGCAAGCATTTGTACAGAGCACAGCCAAACCTCACCCATTTCTCTTTTCAGCACTCTCATTCAAAAGGCTCCATGGGGTGGCTCCTCCGTTCTCCTGGAAGTCACCTCTGACGTGGCCCTGGAACCCCTGAACAGAGGGGCATTTACACAGCACAGCAGAACTCTGAGTCTGAAATGCTTGAAAGGCCCACCCCATTCCTGAGGAAGGGAATGTGCTAGGTTTGGCTTCTCGTGACCAACCTTCCTCATTTCACTCCTGAATGATAAAAAGAACCCAAAGAAAATTATTATTAAAAATATTTTTATTGACTGAAGCTGATCAATTCTCACAGAAGAACAGAGAAGCACATAGTATATTTAAAAAAAAAAATAAATTACAAGTTAAAATGGAAGTGTTTTAGACTTTAATATATATTTTTTTAAATGCATATAAAACTTGATCTTTCGGCAAGCTGTTGTTTGTGTGAGCCGATGAGACAACTACATATCATTTTATGTCTGTTTACACAGCCATGTCCAGAGCTGAAACCACAAGAAAAGAGAATGCTATTTCTCATATAGTTGGAGCTGACTTCTAATAAGCTACTGGTTATAATGCAGGGGGGTCTTTTTCTCTTTTAGCATAATCCCAAGTTTGTGTATCTCCAATAGAGAATAAGTTCTAATTTCTTACACGTGAAAAATATTTGACACATGCAAATTGTTAACTTGAAAACAAACAAAATACAGGTGTTTAAAAATTGACTTTCAGTTTCTGCTCCCCTTTGGTGTGAAATCACTGCTTCTGCGGGGATTACAATCCTCTTTTTGTTTTCAAGGTTAAGTACTAGGTATTGATGTCTGCTTCCTACCTTCTGCATAGATGAGAGACCAGCTTCTGTAGGAAGGAAATACAGAGTTAATAAAATCAATGATGCTGGATTGTGTGCTAGGAACTCCCAGTGTCTAAAAAATTAAATGTATCCTGCCTTGGCCGGTTTGGCTCACTGGATAGAGCGTTGGCCTGCAGACTGAAGGGTCCTAGGTTCAATTCTGGTCAAGGGCACATGCCAGGGTTGCGGACTCAATCCCCAGTAGGGGATGTGCAGGAGGCAGCCAATCAATGATTCTCTCTCATCATTGATGTTTCTATCTCCCTCTCCCTTTCTCTCTGAAATCAATAAAAATATATTTTAAAAGAATTAAATGTATCTTAATTTTCATCAACATAAGGTCATGCAAAATATTACAAATATGGAAACTTCTCAGCAGAGAGAGAGGAGGGATAGGAGAGAGGAAGAAAGGGAGAGGACTACTAAAGCTTTCTGCTTTCACAGTTTTTTTTAATGCTCTTATGCTTACATCAAAAACAACTACAATGATGACTACCTTCTAACCTAAACTGGGTTCTACAGAAACTGCATGTGATGTGAAGATTTGATAGCAGGAAAAAAAAAAAAAAAAAAGCCAAAACCGGTTTGGCTCAGTGGATAGAGCATCGGCCTGCGGACTGAAAGGTCCCAGGTTCGATTCCGGTCAAGGGCATGTACCTGGGTTGCGGGCACATCCCCAGTAGGGGATGTGCCGGAGGCAGCTGATCGATGTTTCTCTCTCATCGATGTTTCTAGCTCTCTATCTCTCTCCCTTCCTCTCTGTAAAAAATCAATAAAATATATTAAAAAAAAAAAGATTTGATAGCAGGAAACACAAACTGAGAAAGTGCTTACTGGGTCAATAAACCTTTCTCTACAACTTGAAACTCCATGAAAAGACTTCATCCCAGATATTCAGATGAAATGTTCATTTACATTCTTCTGTTTTTAAATATATTTTATTGATATTTTACAGAGAGGAAGGGAGAGGGATAGAGAGTTAGAAACATCGATGAGAGAGAAACATCCATCAGCTGCCTCCTGCACACCCCCTACTGGGGATGTGCCCACAACCAAGGTACATGCCCTTGACCAGAATCGAACCTGGGACCTTTCAGTCCACAGGCCAACGCTCTATCCACTGAGCCAAATCAGTTAGGGCTGTTCATTTACATTCTGATTTTGAATGCTCTATGTGGTCACTGCCTTCAATTTAAAATTCTAGGTATTGAGAACAAGAACTTTTTTTTATCTCCACTTCTTATACAAGTAACTGACATTTTACCCTGATTAAATTTAGAAGGTATGTATAAATAGGTCAAACCAAAGAGAAAGAATTGCAGGTCAAACAAACGTTAAGCCTTAACTCCACCTTATCAGCGTTCCCAAGTTACTCATTAAATCTCCATTGAGATAGAAGTCGAGATAAGCAAGGTGACTTACCCACGAATATTGAATATTGAAGTGGACTTTTGTTTTCTTCTATTACTGAGAGCCGTTCTTTTGAGCTGACTCTTCTGAGGCTTCTAAGTTCTACAAAACAACTCCCAAATTAGTAACCAGGATAGAAAAACGAGAAGATACTTAAGAAGACAATATTCAAATACAGCAGGTGTTCCTTGAAAAGACCTCAGGGAAGTAACGAAATACAATGAAGGAATTTCATTCCACCACCAGCCATCCGACAAGGACCTACTGATTTCCTATTCGTGTGTGGGGCCCTTTGTCTCATGGTGGAGCAGGGATGCTGTTTGTTTACCACACGTGTTGGGGCTGAACTCTGGCTAACGCCCAAAGATACCTGGCTCTTTGTCAGCCTCCATATAGACTCGGTGGTGAGCCCTTAATGAAGATAATGGTCATCAAAAGAATCTACCACCCTAACTGTTCTCATTCACTTGAGTGCCCACTGAGGGCTTAGTCAGCATTGTTAGGTGTTTGGGGGGATTTTTTTTTTTTAAGAGAAAAAAGGAGGAACGAGAAGGATGATACCTGGAAAGACAGAGGCAGACACAGGTGATGAACTTCAGCTTGTCGGGTAAGCCCCCTTCGCAGCTGCTTCCTCCTCCCCACGGGCCTCTGTTTGAGCCTCAACAGCATTCCCCTCGGCGCTTCCAGACCTCCCTGCTTGACCCACGCTGCCCTCTCCACTCAAACAGCCTTCCTCTGTATCTTACAATCTGATGGATTTGATTTTATTCACTTAAAAACACGATTCTAAAAGGGATCCATAGGCTTCAGCAGCCCGCCACACAAAAAGGGATGATACCGCCCTAACTGGTTTGGCTCAGTGGCTAGAGCATCGGGCTGCGGACTCAAGGGTCCCAGGTTCGATTCCGGTCAAGGGCATGTACCTTAATGGTGGGCACATCCCCGGTGGGGAGTGTGCAGGAGGCAGCTGATCGATGTCTCTCTCTCATCGATGTTTCTAACTCTCTATCTCTCTCCCTTCCTCTCTGTAAAAAAATCAATAAAATATATATTTTTAAAAATCAATAAAATATGTTTTTTTTAAAAAAGGGATGATACGAAAGGTCTCAAACTAGTAATGAGGACATCCAGTCCCCTGTACCAGTCAAACCGCCAAGTCCAGCCTCAGGCCAAGTCCCTCCCCACCCCCACACCTCAGCTGCTAGGAAGCTGCCATGGGGGAAGGGGACGGGGTCAGCTGTGCTGTGTTATAGTCTTTCCTTTTTTCTCTGTTTTTAAGTTATTGGTATATTTTTTCAATAGTTAATACACTGATGTGGTTTGAAAAGAAAAATCATGTATATTCTTATCCCCATCCCCTTTCGTAAACGTGGTGAATACCATATGAGCCTTTCAGTATCTTGCTTCTTTTCACTTAAAAATATACCCTGGAAATATTTCCCCACCCAGATCTTCCCGTCTGTTTCACAGGTAAGCAATGTTCCTGCGAGTGGACACCGGGCTATCTCCTAACCTTTGCTGTTATAAAGCAATCCTGCTGTGGGAGATTACTTGTCACACATGCAGGTGTGTCTGTAGGAGGGGCTCCCCAAAGGCTCAGTTCTCCTGCGACTTTGAGGAAACAGAGCCGGTCCCTGCCTGAAGGATGGAATGACTTGTGCTCCCCCAGCAAAGGATGAGCGTGCCTGCTTCAGAGGCAGGCTTTGAAGTGAGACCTTTGTCTCTAGCAGCAGATGGCAAAACCTGGAGAAGCAGAAAGGCTGCTCAGAATGCTCCCCTATTGCAAAAAAACGACCAGAGGGGCCCTGGCTGGGTAGCTCGGTCAGTGTCATTCCGATACGACAAGGATGAGGGTTCAATTCCCAGTCCGGGCACTTATAAGAATCAACCAACGAATGCATAAATAAGTGGAACAACAAAACTAACTCTCTCTCTCTCTCAAAATTAAAAAGAGAGAGAGAGAGATCAGAGGGGAGGAGTCTGTAAAGTTCACTGTCAAGTGGGTTTTTGCTCATTGTTCTCCCAACATCCCCAGAATCACTTAATCCACTGGAACACACATTACATCCAGAGCCAATATTCTTCCCAACTAAATGATTATCTGATTCTAGCTGTGGGATGTTAAGTAAGAGATTTAGTCACTTTCCTCACCTGTAAAATGAAAGGTTGAGATTAGGTATCTCTTCTGGGTCTGTCTAGCCCAAAAATTCTCTTAAGCCAAGTTTAACCAACCTCCATCAGCTTCAGTGATTTTCCCTCTATACCTGAGGTCACTGTTTAGCCTCTTTCCTTCACTTTTCCTACCAATTCCGTCAGGGTCTTTCCTGAGCATCCTGTGTAATGGGCCCTGTGCTATACCTGGGGATGCCACCTGAGTAAGAGGGGTACTAAGGGGCTCAGGGATGAGCAGGGAGCCATGGAGTCGGTGATCAGGTGCTGAGACGCATGCTCTGATGGAGACATACCCCCACACACATACACATCCTGCACTATGAGGTCAAAAGTGAGGGAGCTACAGATTATGTCTCTGATAGGAATTCAACAACAGGCCCTAAAGAAGAGGCTGAGCCCTAGCTGGTGTGGCTCAGTGCATAAAGCTTCGGCCTATGGACCAAAGGGTCCTGGGTTCTATTCCGGTCAAGGGCATGTAACTTGGTTGCAGGCTCCTCCCTGGCCTGGACCCTGGTCAGGGTGCATGCAGGAGGCAACCAATCAATGTGTTTCTCTCACATCAATATTTCTCTGTCTTTCCTTCTCTCTTCCACTCTCTCTAAAAATCAATGGAAAAAATATCTTCGGGTGAGGATTAAAAAAATAATAAAATAAAAATAAAGAAGAGGCTGAGACAAGAGCCTGAGGCTGGGGATGAGAAGGAGTCTGTCAGCGATTATACTGAAACACAGCAGTTCTGCTGCGACACTTGCTTTGAAAACAGGAGTTTGCTCCAACACATCTGGTATATCGGGGAACAAATCTGAGCCCAGGGTGAAGTTTGCATTTGTTCACATGTGATTTTTGCCCACGAGAAACACAAGGTGAAATGCACCCAGCTGGATTGAGCCATGCCATGCAGGAATACACACACACGCACATGCACACGCACACGCACACACCCACACCCACACCCACATCTGCTGCTACCCCTCTGCATCTGATACCCCTTCTTCTCCCATTTCCCAATCAATCTCCAGCTGGAACCTCTCTGACACGCAAACTTCATGTCTTTTTCAAGGCGAAGTGCCGTGTTTACTGCGGTACTTCCCTTATGCTTGCTTTTAGAAAGTCCTTGTGTTAGAGGTACTTGAAGTATTTATGAGTAAAATGATATGATATCTAGGAGAAAACGTGTATGGACGGGGAGACCAAACAAAAATGACAGGAAGTGCTGGCTGCTGGAGGTCTGAGATTCCAGAATTCCTTCTACATCGTGTGTACTTAAATTTTCTATAATAAGGTGTGCTTTCTTAAATCCCCAAGTAATTAGAAAGAGGAAGTTTGGGTGCAGTGACATTAGAGTGTGACATTTTCGTCCTCAAAACCAGCGTGCTGCCCCCGCCCCCCCCCCCCCCCCCGAGACATAAAGACACTTGCTCACTGCCTGGCCAGCGACGCGGTGCAGGAGGACTCGGTGGAGCGTTCAGGCCCTACACGTGGGGCCAAGAGAAGAGGAAGCACCTACCTTCTTGGCAGCGCCGTTGGCATTCTCAGAGCTGATGGGGAGCAGAGTGCTCAACTCCAGGTCCGTGACCATCTGGCGAGATTCTGCCAGCAAACGCTGAAGCTTGCTGGTGGGAGAAAAATCGTCCTGGGAAGACAATGCCATGTCAGCATCCATGATATGAAGAAGCATATTTAAATGTTTAAGTATATACTTTTACCTAGTAAAAGTACCAATGCTTTTACATAAATACCTTTATAGAATAAAAGTATAAAAACAAACATGGAAGCAACTTCAGAATAGGCGTTAGCTGGGGGGTGGGGGTGCATGGAGAATGGGAGAATGTGGAATTTACACCTTATCTGTAACACTTCATCTCTTTGCATGTTACAGTCTTCATTTTTTGTGTGTTTAAAATAATGATGAATTAAAAAATAATAATAATAAATAAATAAATAAATAAATAAATAAATAAATAAAATAATGAACTAAAGTTGATATGTCAATCTCAGCTTGGAGAGCCTGAGGGGCATCTTGCCTAAAGCTGATATGTAGGATACTCGCAGGAATACGCCGGGCTTTTCTAAGTGAAATACAAACCTTTTCACTGGGCAACGCTGCATCTTTGCACCCGAACAAAATCCTAGGTGAATTCCTTTTCTCAGAAGGGGACTCTGTCTCCAGCAACTTCTCCTCCTCTCTTATGGCAGCACCCACACAGTGGGAATGCTGGATGGCAATGAGCTCGCTGCGAATAAGAAACCAAACGGAAACAGACATCTTGAAACGGTAGCGAACATGTACCAATACTCTTATGCTTAAAAGTATCTCGACAGGACAAAGAAAAAGTTGTTTCTCTTCTTTAATGAAGTTGTAAGTAGAACACTATAGATCTGAATAGACCATTTGAGAAAAATATTATAAATTAATGCATACCCTTTGCAATAAGAATTAAAACAAGATTCTTAGTTAAAGGGTAACTATAGAATAAAGAATTTCTCTCCTCCCCCAGCAAAAAAAAGAAAAGAAGGCTCAGAGACAGGATGAACCAAAAAGGGGGAGAATTAACAGTATAATTTCTGAAAATTTTAGTGTTTTGGTTTGTGAGACCGATTTCTGTCAATGGTGTATAAAGGTCCTTTTGTGTAAGTAGAATGGCATGGCTGTGGCTCATTAATTCTATAGTTTCTCCAAATCAGAGAACAGACACACGCAGCTAAGCTTCTAGGTATGTTATTCGAGTTGATAACGAAAACTGCCGTGGCTCGGATGGGAGGCGATGGCCCCTCCTCCGAATGTAACCTGTAACTAGGTGAGAGCAGGCTGCCCTGGCTTCTCCCTCCACGGCTAACCTCTAGCTGCCAAATGGAATGGTGTACAGATGTGAGCACTCAGATAATAAAGTGGGTCACAAGTTCTCACAATCTAAGGAAAAGCAGGCAAATAGAATTATCTTTTCTACTTCATCACGTACTTGTCATGCGATGCCCGGCATGTGCCTCTGCTGGCCGAACAAGGAGTCACTCCTGATTATTTCATACCAGGGAGGTCAAAATGGTCTCGAAAGAAAACTCCAGATTTAAATTTTAATTTTCTTGCATACGTTAAACTTAATATATTTCCACTTTGCTCTTAAAACCATCTGACGCTGCTTTTCACTTAGCATATGGGTGTTCTTGTTGGGTAGTGAAGTCTGCAGTGGTGCCCTACCCATAGATACCATTATCTAAAGAAGACCTTTAAAAACCAAGTATGACCCTGGCTGGTTTGGCTCAGTGGATGGAGCATCGGCCTGCAGACTGAAGGGTCCCGGGTTCGATTCTGGTCAAGGGCACGTGCCTTCGTTGCAGACTAGATTCCTGGTCCTGGTCGGGGCATGTGCCGGAGGCAACCAACCCAATCGATGTGTCTCCCTCACGTAGATGTTTCTCTCTGTCTCTCCCTCTCCCTTCCACTCTCTCTAAGAATCAATGGAAAAATATCCTCGGGTGAGGATTAACAATAACAACAAAAAACAAGTATGATCACATAGCACTTAGTATGACAACCAATTTTTTAAAATTTTGCAACTGATGGAATACCTATGCGCATGATTGTTCAACGACTCAGGCTTCTAAAAGAGCCAAAGGACAACCCACATAATGCAAGTTCTAGAAACAAAATGTAGTCATAAAGTCCTATGAAAGTCAAAGGCCTCAATATAGAAACTCTGTCTTTTCTGTGATTTAAGGCTTACCAGGTAGGTTTTATTTGAAAATAGCTGACATTATTATAGCATCACTTAACCAAAAAATTCAGCCATCCTGACAATATGATGAGTCTGAGTAATGCATATCAGCTAATAACACATATGCAGCTTATGCTAATAACTAACCCATTTTCTTTCATAGCTTTTCCAGCCTGTTACATATAGGTATTCGTTCTCTTGCAGATTTTAAAGAGTAAGAAAGTTTGGAAAATGTACAGTGAACGCAGAGGCAGGAGCAGTTGGGTATGTGAGTATGTGTTGGGGGGGGGGGGGGGCGCGCAACCCTGGAGAAGGATGTTACCTGGGATCCAGGCAATGCGTTTGGTCTGGACACAGAGACACAGCTTATCCAGCCAAACCCTCCCAGAGCAGCACAAAGTGACTCACCTCTTTGTTATTAAATAAAACACATCTTCCCACCCACCCAGCATGGCTCAGTGGTTGAACATCGACCTATGAACCAGCAGGTCACAGTTCGTTTCCGGCCAGGGCACATGCCCTGGTTGCAGGTTCAATCCCCAGTCTGGGGCGTGGAGGAGGCAGCCAATCAATGGTTCTCTCTCATCATTGCTGTTTCTATCTCGCCCTCTCCCTTCCTCTCTGAAATCAATAAAAATATTTTTTAAAAACCATATCTGGCCCTAACCGGTTTGGCTCCGTGGACAGAGCGTCAGCCTGTGGACTCAAGGGTCCCAGGTTCGATTCTGGTCAACGGCATGTACCTGGGTTGCGGGCACATCCCCAGTGGGGGTGTGCAGGAGGCAGCTGATCGGCGTTTCTCTCTCATCGATGTTTCTAACTCTCTATCCCTCTCCCTTCCTCTCTGTAAAAAATCAATAAAATATTTTTTTTAAAAAAAGTATCTGCCCGACCCACAACAACCGGCTTTGTTTTGAACCAAAACCTTTGCCTCAAAGGCTGTGCTAGGTGCAGGTTTTTCACTGGAATCAAGTTCAGTTTCCACACAATCAAAAACTCAGCAGCCTCTGCCGCAATGCAGAGGAAACGTGTTGCCTCAAATATTACTCACATGCAGATATGAGGCGGCTACTGCACCGCCTGCTGCGAACATGAAACCTCACTGACCTCGTGGAGTTGTGCTTTGTTCCACTGGCACCTTCCGCACAAGTGCACACGGACTTGTGGCGAACGATTCTCTGCAGTTTGGAAGGCTTGAAGATGCTCACCCACTCCACGTCGGACATCTGGCCCGGGGCCTCGACGATGAAGTTGCTCGGGTGGCAGCACCTGAGCTCACATGTGTCGTTCTCGCCCGGACAGGCTTCGCTTCTCTGGCAACAGGAGAAGCCCGATCTGTCCAGGGGGTCTTGGCATTCGGCGTCCAGCTTCTCGGGCCGTTTTGAACCGGAGCAGTCAGCCAGGCCCAGGTAAACGCTGACATCATGCCAGGGCTTCTCATCAGGTGAAGCCAGTGTGTCTGAGAGCTGGTTCTCTTCCATCTGAATCCCGAGACCATTACCTTTGGGGGATTTTGCGTGGCTCTGGCACAATGTACTTTTATTTTCGGGTTCAAACTGGAGTTTTCCTCCCAGAGACCAAGACTTTTGTTTCTCCGTTAAGTCTTTTGCAAACAGAGATGAAACAGCAATGACACTTTTTCCCCCAAATGAAGTATTAACCTGGAGCTTCTTCTCTTTGCACACTTCACAAGAGCTCTTGTCCGACCTATTTTGCTGAACAAACATGGTCTCAAATTTTTGGTCCTTAACCAGTGACTTCTGATATTTCTCCTTAATATCGACTTTTGGGTGGTAATTTTCAAGGTCAGATAAACACATGTCTCTGCTACGGTGGCGTCACAAAAAACGGAAGTTATAAGATACACTCAATACTGTCATTTTCAATAGTTCACCCAAACCTCATTAGTTGAGCCACATTCTAATAAGACCCATTTGCCTATTAACAAAGAAACAGGAAAATCGAGGTAAGAGCAGGCTCGCCCTCAGCTCGCCGAGCTCCTCCAGCAGCTATGCACAACGTTCTTTGCATGACTCCTTTTGGGCCAGTACCCTGTCCTATGTATCATTATTTGCGCGTATCCTAGCCCCATGCCTATAGTATTTTGAGTGCTGAATGAACAAATGACTCATCCCTGTAGTTTCTACTTTAACTCAAAGCCTTCTACACAACAGACACACAAATAATGTTTACTGATTTTCTTTTCTCAAATGGCTAAATTAGGGTCATGCCTAAAATTCTAAGCTCTGGTCTCACCACACCCTGGGATTAAAATGTTTATTATTAACTCACATAGATTTATTCCCTACGACATAGGGAATAGCAGTAGATGCTGGCCCACAGCAAGTACTTAAAAATATGACTAAAAGATGGAATAAAGTACAAGATTACATTAACAGCCTCTTCCTGTGGTTACCTGGACTCCAGGGCCTTGGATTCCTCCATCTTTGAGTTATATATGTGTATTAACTCCTGAGAATTTTCCACATTGAAATTCAAAAACTGTAGATCACTCTGTTGTTTTACGTAAATCTGCAGTAGATATTGATAAGTCAGTATAAAAGTGTAACCATAAAACCAAATCGGGCCAACAATTGGGCACTTTCAAGTGTTAAAACAGATCAGACAGTGACTGGAGAGAAGTTAAAAGCTTGTGCTTTGGTTTTTTTCCTGTGTCAGCACTGAGATTTGTTAGTCTAACTTGTTTCCTAACTTTTAATGACTGTAAACAAGACCCTATCTGCTACAATGAATATAAAATACAGCTAATGTAGCTGGGATTCCAAAAGCACCATAAACAAAACCAGCAGACGTGCACATTTCCTAATTTGATGTTTGTTTTTAAACATGTCCCACCTGATAACTGTAGAAGAAATGTACCTGGGGACATACCTGTCTCAGACTATGCAGTTCTGCATTTGTTCGTTCTTGCTTTGACTTCGCAATATCAAGCAACTCATCTTTCCTTTTCTCTCTCTCTGCTATTGAAGAAAAAGTATTATTAAAACACTTTTCATCAGCCACATTAACACAAACCTCTTCACGTCCAAAAAAATATTTTGAGAAAAGATGTTTAAGAAATCAGCCTAGCAAATAATCTTTTAAATTATGTCAAGAAATGGGTTTATTATAGTATTATCTAACAAATTCCATATATTTTACTTAGGAAATCATAACAGAATATAAGAGTAAAAATTGGTGAATCAAAAAGAAAAGAGACTGTCAGAATACCCTGCAAGTGTGTTTTTCTTCCCCTGACATCCCACAGCATTTCATTCATAGCATTTGTTTGGTACTAAATTTTCTGGGCCTATGAGTTTCTTAGCAAATAGCAGAGTGCCTGGCACACAAATACTGATCCAAAGATTGATTGAATTCAGTTCTGAAGCTATAAATACATCTTAAATATAGCTACCTAGCTATATATGTATCTTTAGCAATATAAGACATTACTTTGAGCCCTAGCCAGTTTGGCTCACTGGCTAGAACGTTGGCCTGCAGACTGAAGGGTCCAAGTTTGATTCCGGTCAAGGGCACATGCCCAGGTTGCCGACTCGATCCCTAGTTAGGGGTGTGCAGGAGACAGCCAATCAATACAAATTCTCTCTCATCATTGATGTTTCTAGCTCTCTCTCCCTCTCCCTTCCTCTTTTAAATCAATACAAATATATATTTTTTAAAAAGACATTACTTTGAGACAGCAATCCTAATAATGGAAATAGTGACCTCTACTGGTAGAAACGTATTTTCCACATTAGATTCAAATTAAGAATTCAATTTTATTTGAAAAATTTTAAATAAAATGCTGCATTTTGCCCCCTTTACTTTATAGGAATGTATTCTCTTCCTAGAATGAAGGGCATTGAGGGTAGGTGTGAGTAGACAAAAACATTTAATTTTATTTCTAGTTGGAATTTTACCTCCATATCTATGATTTCTCTAATACATGCTACCAAAATGAAAGCCTAATAAAATCCTCCTGGCTGGCAGGGATACGAATAAGATCTATATATTAGTGATTCTCAACTGGGAGCAGAGAAAGGAGAAATTTTCACCACTGGAAAATGAGATTCTGGGGTAGGTAGGGAGGGAATAAAGTATGGCAGAATATGGAGAGGAGAGAATGAAATTTTTGTTTACCAGAAGGGGTGAAGTTAAACCTTACTGACAAACTTGCTTTTAAATCATTAAAAATTTATCTCCAGCATTATTTTTAGGATCATACTGATGTAACAAAACACGTTACTATTTTTCCAACCTTAATAAATTACAGGTAATCTACTTGCAAAACTGAAAAAATGTGGAATTATTAATTTTTATATAGTATTAGCACAAGTATAAACAATCTTCCTTCTTCAATTCATAAGTCTTTCTTAATGAATTTTTAGTGAGAAGTACAGTCACAGGCTTAAGCTGGAAGGGAGGGCAGCTCATTTTACAAAAGAGGAAACAGGGTTAACTGGGAGGTATTGTAACAGTTTTAAAATTCCCTGCCTGGTCCCTCCCCACCCCTCAAAGGGTGCTTTAAAAAAAAAAAAAGAAAAAGTGACTTTGAGAGACTATAATTCCTTTAGCCTGCCATAGTAGTATCGTAAAAAGTTTAGTATCCTATTCAGTCATTTAAACTATTTTTACCAGTAAAAACCAATTCATCGTGCAGGCAACTCTTCTCTTGCTTGAGGCGAATGATCTCTTCTCGTTGTTCATTATTCTCTGTTGTCTTTTCATTTAGATCCTCTTCACAAATAGAACAAACAAACAAAAAAGTTCTCAAATAAACACTAGTTCCTAGAAGAAGACACACATTATGACTACGTCTCATGTCCTCAGCACCCTTTCCAATGAACAGAAAGTCCTGTTAAACCTACAGCCAAAATATGCCCCATCTGCAGCAGCTCATGGTATCACTGGCAATGACCCTGGCCAAGGCTTTGCTACCTCTCACCTGACTGGTCTCCCTGCTGGAACCGTGCCTGCTGTCCACAGTGCAATGAGGGCAACCTTTTCAAAATAAAAATCTGCTCATATTACCCCTGTTAAAAGCCTCCTGCCATACTTAGGTTGAAATCCAAACTCCTAATGATAAGTCCTCCTGGCCTGGACTGGCCCTGCCTGTCACTCTCCTTCTTCTTTCTTTCTGTTCCTTGAAGGTGTTCCAACCTCAAAACCCACTAGGGCTTTTGCACGTGCTGTTCCTTCTGCCTGGAAGGTTCCTGGCCCAGATCCTCACATGCCAGTTCTTCCCATCATCCAGGTTTCAGCTCACACGTTCTCCTCAAAGATGCCTTCCAAGTCCACCCAAACTGAGTTTCTATTTCCCTCACTCTCTAGTCCACTATCTATTGTCCTGTTTTTCTTCTTTTTTAAAGTTTTAATAAATATTCAATTTATAAAATAAGGCATACTAACACTAAAACAGGCTTTTTCCGTAAATATTTTACCTTGGTATACACAGTATCCAATAAATACTTATCAAATGCCACCATGTACCCCAGGGGCTGTGCTATTAACTGCAGATCCAAACAACGGAGACTGAGTCCGCCCTGCTGCCAAGGCCTGCCTTATGGTCGTGGTTCTAGCTGGAGCCACAAATGGAAACAAAACTATGACCTGCCACAAGTCAGAACATCCTCAGAACAAGACCGAGTCGTCTAAGTTCAATCAGCCACAACAGTCACACAATCTCAACAGCAACTCGCAGCCTCATGAGGTGCTGTGGGCACACCACAAGGATAGAGGGAGGGTGGCCTCCACCCCCCAGGGCTCTGTCACTCTAAGGGGCTTGTTCCACAGTGGGCGTTGGTCTTCGTGTCTAAGGCGGTGACTATGTATAAAATGATAGTGCCTCTGCCCACAGTGGGGAAAGGCCAGCGGAAAGCAGATCCACCTCCACAGCCTCTGAAGACACATTTAAATTTTGACTCTGTCACCTATGTCCATATTCAAGTATGTATACTAACCTATTTGGTATACCTACCCTTCATTTCATTATAAAACCTCAAGTAATATTACTCAGAAAGAAATGAATCATGGAGCTACTGTGAGAATGAAAATAGAAAAGGAGAACGCAAAGGAACCTTTAAAAATAAAACATGCTCCAAAAGTCACTCTTGGCAGATCGTGCCGTTCGCGGCAATTCCTCACTGCTCCCTGCCTGCCTCCCACAGTTGCTTGCAAATCCTCCCATGAGAAGCAGAGGATATTTCTCCACCACCTGACTTCGGGTTGAGCCACGTGACTTGCTCTGCTCAGTAGAGTGAGGGGGAAGTGTCAGGTCCTCACATTTCTGCTTCCTCTCTGACACTTCTGCCTTCCCCGTGGGAGGAAATGCCTACGGTGAAGAGATGATGTACACGAAGTGGAACTAGCCCAGATGAGCAGCGTGGCCTCATCAGCTTCCTGCCTCATGAGTGTAACAAAGACTCACTGCTGCCTGCCACTGAGATACTGTCCTTGCTTGTTACCGAGCAGTATCAGCAGTACTGACTGACTGGTGCAGCCAAGGCAGGATTATGTAACAAATATCATGCATTATGCAGTTTCCCCAACTCTGCTATATATCTCATAGCACAGAAATGGCATATGAGATGAACATTTCATGGTGGGGCCTAGCCAGCAACAGATCTACTCTTGATCTTAAGATTCGGTAAACCTGAATGAAGGAATATATTCCCAGAATAAAATGCTTACATTTATATCTCTTCCTTACCTTTTAGTTTATTGATTTCAATCTTAAAGGTCTTCAATTTCTGCTTATAGTCTTGCTTTTCTTTCACGATACATGTCTCCACCATCTTGGCGTCGCGCAAGGCTTGCTCTAGCAATTTAAATTTCCCCGAACAGTCTGCAATGTGATTGACTGCCTCAATAATATCTTTGTCCTAAAAACCACATTTGGAAACTATTACAGAAGATTTTTAAATTCCCACTAATCAATATGAAGATTACACTTGGTATTAAGAAGTCATTGTGTGCCAGGTTTCAGCCTATGCACTTTTCACGTGTTAACTCATTGTATCCACACGGTAACTCTCCGAGATAGGGGCTATATTTATCCTCAGGTGACCCATGAGTCAATAGTAAATTGCCCATGGTTACACAACTAGTTAGTGATGGAACTCCCATTTGCACCAACCAGCTGGCCCCAGAACCCAGTGTCACCCACCCTAGCTTACTGTCTCAGAAAAGCTTAGAACCAGACAACTCAACTCCCTGGAAAACTGCAATAACAGGAGGGCTGGTGGCCCTTGAGGGGGCCCTTTCTTTGAATCACAGATAAATCCCAGGGGCCCCACTCTTCCTCCCCTTCTTTTCAGCTGCTAAAATGACAGACTCCAAGACCTTCTCCCAAACCTACCCAGATCAGAACCTCTTACTGTTGAGGTAATTTTTTAATTACAAAAAGAGGATATCTGCTGGCTGAAAAGCAATTCAAACAATACCTAAAAGTATAAAAATAGTAAGAGTTCTTTCCCTCCGACTCAAATGGGATAACTATTAGCAGGTTTTATTCCTGCCTAAGGTCACAGCTTTCTGCTCCAGCATCTTATGCATGTTCATGAAAAACCTCACAGCCTACACACCTCACACTAGGAGGACTCATGGAGAAGGAAAGGGCTGGGCAGACCATTCAATAGCTGATGGAACTTTGTGATCAGACCAACGTTAGCAAATCCCAACATCCCTATTAAGTACACGAACACAGTTCAGCAAATGCCAACACAGACGCATTAGCTGGCCAAGCCTTTTCAGCAGCATCATTAGCACTCACAGCTCTGCCCAGAGTTTGCTATGACGGAACCCACAGTGGTTGTTGAAGCCATGAAGCTGGCCATTACTTAACTTAAGAAATTCTGGAGCTTTTAATAGTTTTCTCTTTAATATTAAGAAAACTTGGCCCTGATCACTTCAAAATATTAATATTCTGGGGGAGGGGGAAATCACATATGAATTAGCAAGATTGTCCCACGCTACCAACATCATTCCCCCACTTGCCAGTTGTCAAACATGTGTGTTATGGCAAAAGAGACTGTTTATCAATCACTGCTCATGACATGTTAGTCACTATCTATAATAATAAAAGCTTCATATGCTAATTAGACCGAACATCCTTCCGGGCAACATTCCGTACAAAGCCAGGGCTGCAAGGGAAGCCAAGGTCCTGGGTGCCAGCAGCCAGAGGGAAGCCCGGGTCCCGGGTGCCATAGGGAAGCCAGTGCCGGCAGCCAGGGGAAGGAAGGCCTCCTCTTGCACCAATTTCGTGCATCGGGCCTCTAGTAAATATATAAAACTGCTTGATTGCTAACATTTTTCTCTCCATTAAAAAAAAATTAACAAGCTCTGGCTGGTTTGATAAGTGGTTAGAGCCACAGCCTGTGGAACAAACGGTTTCAGGTTTAATTCCTGATCAAGGGCACGTGCCTGGGTTGCAGGTTGGATCCATGTCCCTGATCGGGGCGCATGTGGGAAGCAACCAATTGATGTGTCTCTCTCTCTCTCTTTCTCTACCCACCCCCTTCTACTTTTTCTGAAAATCAATGGAAAAAATATCATTGGGTGAGAATTAAAAAAAAAAAAAAATTAACAAGCATTCTGATTGCCATAAGACCTAACAATGGATCCCTCGGAAGAAAACGAGTTAATCCGGGTTAATCCAGGCATGCTAGAGCTAGACCATGGAATGGGACTTGGAGACAGAAACCAAAAGTGGAGTCTTGCCTCCTCTCCCAATGCCTTGAGGACATCATTTCAAACTCGCTTCTCTCATTTCTGAAATGGTAGCTCTATCAATCTGCATAGCTATGGACTTAAGTAAGATTGTGTATGTGACTATCCTATCTAATAAAGAGGAAATATGCAAATTAACTGTTACTCCATCACAAAGATGGCAGTGCCCACAGCCACAAGATGGCAGCACCCAGTCCCCTAAGCCCAGCCGGGTGGGGGCAGGCGGCAGGCGCACAGTCCAGCTGGACCCGGCCTCAGCCCCCCAGCCGCCTAGGGCCGGCCCAAGGCACAGGCAAGCCTCGGATGGTGGCTGCCCAGCTGCCCAGGGCCAGCCTGAGGCTCAGGTAACCAGGGCCGGCTGAGGTTTGCGCTGCCAGCAGTGGCAGCAGCAGAGGTGTGATGGGGGCATCGCCTTTCCCTGATCGCGGGGTCGCCTCCTGCCCCTGAGGGCTCCCCGACTGTGAGAGGGGGCAAGCCAGGTTGAGGGCTCCCACCTCCAGTGCATGAATTTTCATGCACCGGGCCTCTAGTACTTTATAAACTACAAAGCACCCCAGCAGATGGAGATCGTATTATTCTGAGTTACCTTTAGCTTTATCATTGTAGTGAGAGACTGTTCTCGAGCCTGTAGCTGTCCTACCTGAGCAGAAAGTTCCACTAACGTATTGCTGAGATTTTCGTTTCTAGCCTGCAAGGGAACAACACATAAATGCTAATGTATGAGCCATCGAAAAGCTTTCATTACTGTCAGCAGCCACACTCTGTGTTCATCCTTCTATTTTGTTATTTTTTTCTTTAACTTTTTTTTTTGTAACAAAATGGGCTTAAGTAAGAAGTCATCAAAAGGAATACAAACATCTATTTCTCCATTACCTCTAGCATCCTCTCAATACAAGTGTTTGCTCTACTGAATTATGTTTATAAACATGTTTATAAACATGTCTACTCCCTAATGTCTTTTATGTATAATTCTAGGTTGGCAAGAAAGAAGAAAATGAATGAATGAAAACAGACTTCCTTTGCTAAAATAAAGTAGTAGTGAACTTCTGTGCATTATTTTTTACTCTGTGTTGGGGTACTGCCACATGCCAGATTTTTTTTAAACCACAGAACTATAGCTGATATAACTATTGTATATATCAAGCATGTCAAACTCGCGGCCCATGGGCCACATGTGGCCCACAATGAATATTTTTGTGGCCCAGCCAATATAACGGTATGCAAAAACATTTTAATAAAAATTTCATAACTTAATTTTGACAATATCCTGTTATACATAATTATTAATAATGAACTACAATGTTCGCTAATGACGGATTACTATAATCGTGTTGCATTTATTTCCCTTACGCACCTTATGCGCAGGCGCACCATTTCTCTCCACTAATACTAGCAGCGAATATTTTAGCAGCCGATGGCCATGTCATTATTCTTGTATTGACCTGTTTGGTATGCGCAACAGGAAATATTTCACTTTCAGAGAACAAGAAAAATAGGTTTATTGCATTACACTTATTAATTTGTGCAATTATTCAGTGTCTTGTAAGTTAATGTTCAAGAAAAAAATATTAATTTTTATTAAAATGTTCTATTATTTTATGTTAATAATGTTTCATTTATTTCAGCCCTTTGTATTCAGCATGTCTCTATTGAAATAAACCTACGTTTCTATGAAAATTGGAGCTTTTGTTTTTTTGCGGCCCACATAAACTTAAACCTTGTTTATTTGGCCCGTGTTAGCCTTTGAGTTTGACATGCTTAGTGTACATGATGTATTTACTGGTTAGGAAAAAAAAATAACCAGGCTTTTAAAAAGATATCTTCATGGTGGAAACTTAACTGCATATTACTAAGTACAGTTAAGTTTCCTCCATGTGAAAAGACTACAATTCTAACCATACATTTTAACCATATGACATTCTGGAAAAGGCAAAATTATGGGGGCAGTGAAAAGATCAGTGGTAGCGAGGGGCTCTGAGAGGGAGGGATGGAGCACAGAGAGCTTTCAGGGAGTGAAACTTTTCCATACGATACAATGCTGGATATGTGTCATTATACATTTGTCAAAACCCTTTTGGTGATAATGATATGTCCTGTATGTATATACTGATTGTGATAAATGCACCACCATGGTAAAAATGTCCATAATGGGGTGGGAGGTGGGAGGTGTATGAGAAATCTCTGTACAGTCCACTCTATTTTCCTGTGAACCTAAAACTGCTCTAAAAATAGTTTATTAATTTAGAAATATCTTCCAGCTATGCAGCCCCCATAATGCATTAGCCCTAAACTCCAAAGTGGTGATATTTGGAGATGAGCCTTTGAGAGATAATTAGAATTAGAGGTCATGAGAGCAGGACCCCATCATGGGATTAATATCCTTATAAGATACCAGAGAGCTTGCTCATTCTCTCTGTTCCCAACACAGCAAGAAGGTGGCTGTCTATAGACCAAGAAGAGAGCCCTCCCAGGAAACTGACTCTGCTGGCAGACACCCTGATATGGGACTTCTCTCTGCCAGAACTGTGAGGAAAAAAACTTCTGTTCGTTAATCCCCCCAATCTATGGCATCTTGTTATGGCAGCCTGAGCTGACGGAAATACTTCCTTTTGTAAAAAATATCTTTTTATTGATTTCAGAGAGGATAGGAGAGGGAGGGAGAGATAGAAATATCACTGATGAGAGAGAATCATCGGTTGGCTGCCTCCTGCATGCCCCACACTGGGGATTGATCCTGCAATCTGGGCATGTGCCCTTGAATGGAACTGAACCCGTGACGCTTCAGTCCACAGGCCGGCAGTCTATCCACTGAGCCAAACTGGCTAGGACTGAAATACTTCCATTTTTAAATTGAACATATCAATAGATTCTAGAAGAGTTTTTACTTAGTTTGTAATTACAAACTCTCTACTATAGTAATCTGAAAAAAGAAAAGAGGCATACGATAAAAGCTATACTATTATTGTAAATTATTAAGTCCCATTGTATTACCAAGATCTATACTGAATATCATCACTATGAAACAAGAAGAATGTGAAGGATGGAATAAAAAATGGCTTTCTCTCTGTGCCTCTCATAAAGCATGAGCTCAAAAAAAAATGTCTGATACCAGGCCAGTGTTGCCCAGTGGTTGAGCATCAACCAATGAACCGAGAGGTTGTGGGCCCAGTCCTCAGTGGGGTCATACAGAAGACAGCTGATTGGTGTTTCCCCTTCATCTACCTTTCTCTCTCTTTCTCCCTTCTTCTCTCTGTAGAAATCAATAAAAAAATCTTTAAAAAGATAACTCAGGGGTGGGCAAACTTTTTGACTCAAGGGCCACAATGGGTTCTTAAACTGGACCGGAGGGCCGGAACAAAAGCATGGATGGAGTGTTTGTGTGAACTAATATAAATTCAAAGTAAACATCATTACATAAAAGGGTACGGTCTTTTTTTTTTTTAGTTTTATTCATTTCAAACGGGCCGGATGCGGCCCGCGGGCCGGAGTTTGCCCACGGCTGAGATAACTGATGACTACCCAGTTCATCAATCTTACAGATTTTATTTCTAATATGCCTCTAACATGGGTTAGATATCTGTTTATCAGATCAGATAAGACACAGTTCTTTGAAGTGCCCAAAACTTGGTGATACTGCTCTCGGACTTTGAGAAAGGCTTTCCAAAATAATCCATTGTTGATAAAATGATAGATGTTATTGAACCAAATGGCCCAACAGTTAGAAAAGGGTTGTCATGTAGCTTCATCTGCAGGACAGACAGCTAACAGAGCAGTACAATGAGTACAAGACTAGGACGATGCACAGCTATACTTTCACACACACGCACATGCATTTTTAATGGAACCACTGAAATATACCAGTAAATAGTCAATAACTGAAACACAACCATAATTTGGGCTAGTGAGGCTGATCACAAAATCAAACCCACCTCCAGGTCTTCAGAGAGGAGAGAGGAATGGGTTGCCTTCTGAGCCATTTCCTGAAGCTGGAGCTGAGTCTTCTGCAGAGCTGTCTGGCATTCCGTCTGACTAGATTCTAGCGTTTTTACCTTCTTTGTGAGTGACCGGATTATTTCAGTTCTTTTATGTAGTTCACCTGAGGGAAATTTCACCAGTCACTTATTTGTGGTCAGAGCTGAAGCTTAAAATGCATTCTTTTCCAATACATCGTTAAAAAGTAATTGTGCTAAAAAAAATTTTTAAAGATAATTCTTCTTTTAAAAGTTTGTATTATAGCTCCAGCCAGTATGGCTTAGTTGTCTGGAGTGTCATCCCATACACCAAAAGGTGGCAGGTTCAATTCCCAGTCAGGGCACATACCCAGGTTGCGAGTCGGGTGTGTGCAGGAGGCAACTAGTCAATGTTTCTCTCACATCAATGTTTCTCTCTCTCTCTCTCTCTCTCAAATCAATCAATAAGTTAAAAACAAAACACAATTTCTAAAGGTTCACTCCTAACACACAGTGTTAACGGGAGCTCTACTCAGCACTCTTTCCACATGTAAGCACTTTGTTCATCTGACTTCAATTCACATTGTATTTGTCTGTTTGATTGTGGGTATTCACGGTCCTCCTACTGTCATTGACACTGAACTCCAGGGCAGAGGGTGCCGTGAGCCCTTTTCAGGTGGAGCCTACAGAAGTGCATACTAGTACCAGTCGTGGCTGCACGCATTTCTGACCTTCCAATTTGCTGCAACGCTCTTCCAAAGTCAACACCTTCTGCCGATCCTCCTCCCACGACAGAAGTTGTCTCTGGTGTACTGCAACCATTTCATTGAGCTCTTTGTCTCGATCTTTCAGTTCTCCAATGAGCAGCTGCAGCTCTTTCCGTTGTTTCTCGATAGTGGAAATCTCAACCTCTGACCCGATGTTCTAATCACAGAAAGTGGTTTTCACACAAAATAAAACTCATCAATAGGATAAATCAGCCAAAGCCTATTTTCCAAATAACTATATCTTCTTGTGCTGCCAATTCAAGGTAGTGATGTTAGCTAAGTTTTATTTGCTCTTTATAATGTGGCATCAAAATTATGTATATTTAAACCAAGATCACACCTACTGTTCACTGCTTCTATCATTTTGTCATACCACACACACCACTCAAAAAGTGGGGCTGGCCCGGCTGGTGGGGCTCAGGGGTTGAGTGTTGACTCATGAAACAGGAGGTCACCGTTCAATTCATGGTCGGGGCACATGCCCAGGTTGCAGGCTTGATCCCCGGTAGGGGTGTGCAAGAGGCAGCCGGTGGAAGATTTTCTCTCATCAATGATGTTTCTATCTCTCTCCCTCTCCCTTCTTCTCTCTGAAATCAATAAAAACATATTTTTAAAAAAATTTTTTAAGTGGCTAAATTACAAATGAACCCATCTCTGCATTTTTCTTTGCTGTCAACCCTTTTCTTGTAACAACCAACAATATTATCCCTCACCTGCTCCAGCAATTCTGGAGCAATCAAGTAAAGAGAAACATGAAATAATTACTGGTTAAAAGTAAATAATCTTCATAGCACTTAACACATCTATATAAACTCACTGTATCAATTTAACATTGGGACTAATCCAAACTCAACATACCTAATAAAAAAACAAATCTTATAAAGGAAAGTTTTCAAACATACACAGAAGACAGAGAACAGCACACTAAACTCCCCTATGCTCAGAACCCAGGTCCTGCCATTATCAAGATTTTGCCACATCTGTTTCATTTTTTTCCCCTTTTTGTTGTTGATGAAAAAAATACATTTCACTCATACATACTTCAGTATGCATCTCTTAAAATGAACATTTTTATATAACCATAATGCCATTTTCATACCTACCAAAATTATCTACAGTAATTCCCTTTTAAGCATACATCATTTTAAAATCTAGTGCAGGAAAGTTGGTCTGACCTAAGTGGGGGTCCAGAACTAGCCACTGGGTGGCTCTATAATCTTGGACTAGTTCCTTAACTTTAAGCCTTAGTTTCCTTCCCTATAAAATGGCAACAACAGCACTGATTATTCTTAGAGTTGTGTGGATTACTCAGGGGCAAGAGAAGCTCTGTAAAGTACTTCATAGTACTTGGCACATCACAGGCACTCAACAAGCATTAGCTATTAAGATTTTAAGTTACATTTCAAAATATGGTACTGTTCCCATCAATGAGATAAAGAGCTAAATGTATTACTTTAAGAATTCTATCTTGAAACCGGTTTGGCTCAGTGGATAGAGCGTCGGCCTATGGACTGAAGGGTCCCAGGTTCGATTCCGGACAAGGGCATGTGCCTGGGTTGCGGGCGCATCCCCAGTGGGGGATGTGCAGGAGGCGGCTGATCGATGTTTCTCTCTCATCGATGTTTCTAACTCTCTATCTCTCTCCCTTCCTCTCTGTAAAAAATCAATAAAATATATTTAAAAAAAAAAAAAGAACTCTATCTTGAAACCAGGTGGTGTGGCTCAGTGGTTGAGCATCGACCTATGAATCAAGAGGTCACGGTTCGAACCAGGAGGTCACCTATGAACCAGGCATGGTCAGGGCACATGCCTGGGTTGTGGGTTTGATCCCCAATGTGGGGCATGCAGGAGGCAGCGGATCAATGATTCTTTATCACCATTGATGTTTATGTCTCTCTCCCTCTCCCTTCCTCTCTGAAATCAATAAAAAATATCCTATATAATAAAAGGTTAATATGCAAATCAACTGAAAGGTAGAACAACCGGTCACTATGATGCGCACTGACCACCAGGGGGGAGATGCTCAATGCAGAAGCTGCCCCCTGGTGGTCAGTGAGCTACCACAGGGGGAGCAATGCTCAGCCAGAACCCAGGCTCACAGCTGGCAAGCGCAGCGGCGGTGGCGGGAGCCTCTCCTGCCTCTGTGGCAGCACTAAGGGTGTCCGTGGGGAGAGGGCCTAAGCCATCAGTTGGACATCCCCTGAGGGTTCCCAGACTGTGAGAAGGTGCAGGCTGGACTGAGAGACTCCCCCCTCCCCCGAGTGCACAAATTTCATGCACCAGGCCTCTAGTATTTAAAAAAATAATAATTCTATCTTGCCCTAGCCAGTTTGGCTCAGTGGATAGAGCATCAGCCTGCAGACTGAAGGGTCCCAGGTCCAATTCTGGTCAAGGGCACATGCCTGGGATGTGGGCTCAGTCCTCACCAGGTAGCTGATCAATGATTCCCTCTCATCATTAATGTTTCTATCTCTCTCTCCCTCTCCCTTCCTCTCTGAAATCAATTTAAAAAATAAAGAATTCTATCTTGAAAAGTTAGTGGAGGCCATGTACATCATTCCTGCTTTCTGAAAAATACAATTTGTAAATAAACAGAAACAACGAATGGATTACAGTTACTAGTAACTAAACACATAAGAAAAGGAATTTGGAGTTAAGGGATTCCGAATCACAAGACCTGAATTTCAGTCTTTGGTAAGCCATTCATTCATTCATTTATTTGTTCAACAAATATTTACTGAGCACCAAGTGGTTGGGGATACAGCAAGGAGCATATATTCTAGTACCGGAAAACAGGCAACAGGCCAAGTATACAAAAAAAGTTCACCCCATCGCATACCGATTAATGCAAACCTAGAGCAAGTTCACTTTCAATGCTTTTTTTTTTTTTTTTTTTTTGTAAACCAGAGTTGCAGAGTGCTCCCCCACTGGCAGGTTACTGTGTATAAGTTAAGGACAGGAAGGGAGGTGGCCTAGAGAAGCCGCTCTACAAATGCCCACTGTCATCATTAAGAAGTGAACACCTGCCCTGTGGCCCGTGTGACTCAGTTGGTAGGGCATCGTCCATGCATCCACAGGTTTCCGGTTCCGGTTTGATTGCCCGTCAGGGCACAGACGGGCTTGCCGGCTCATCCCAGGTTGGGGGAGGGGGGGCCGTGTTTCTCTCTCACATACATGTTCTCTCTCTCTCTCTCTCTCTCTCTCTCTCTCTCTTAAAAAAGAAGTGAGCAGCCGAACCGGTTGTGCTCAGTGGATAGAGCGTAGGCCTGCGGACTCAGGGGTCCCAAGTTTGATCCGGTTAAGGGCACGTACCTTGGTTTCGGGCACATCCCCACTGGGGGGCGTGCAGAAGACAGCTGATTGGATCTCTCTCATTGATGTTTCTGGCTCTCTATCCCTCTCCCTTCTTCTCTGTAAAAAAATCAATAAAATATTTTTTTTAAAAATAATAATATATTTTAAAAAAAAAAAGAAAGAAAGAAGTGAGCACCTGGTCCCACCACTGGTCTTAACGCCTGGGTTGGACAACAGGTTTCTTTTGAGATAAGGAAACGGGATATGACACTCCATCCCTCCAGTTTCCCTTATTTTAAATCTGAAGCGGAAACCGTGCCCCAAAGGCCACCCGAGTTCGGCCAAAATGCACCCTGTGCCCGAGGTCTGCTTGCCGGTGGTGCCAGGCCGCTCACCTGGCGCCCGGCGAGGAAGGTCACTGAAGGGTTCATAGGTGTTTTCTCCGCCCCCGGAGAAAGTCGCTCTGCGCAGCGTCACCTTGGAAACGCCATAGCGCGTCTGCCCACAGCGGTGGGGGTGGGGGGAAGCCCAGAGCCCGGGAGCCCCGCGCCCTCGGCGCAGCCGGCCCAAGCGCGCGCCTCCCAAACCGCCTGCCAGGACGACCTCACGCGCCAGGGGCGGGGCCGCCCCCGGGCTCTCGCGATACCTCGGTAGCAGCGCAACCAGATGCGGGAAGCTGGCTCCCACCAGACCACGTGCGGACACCGCTCTCACGACGCTTCATGCTTCCGAATCCGGGCCTGGGACTCAAGAATGATTAATCTCAGAATATACGGCCCGCAAAACAGGTTAATAAAGGACGAAAATTAAACTTTCTGTTCCCATGACCCTGGGTTATGACATTTGAGTTGCTCACCTAGTTCCCTCTGGCCCTGCCGTGGGCAAACTACGGCCCGCGGGCCGGACCTTCGGCTGTTCTATCCGGCCGGCGGAGCCGAAAGAGCGGAGGGTTCTCTTGCTCTCCCTTCCGCTCCTTCACCAGCAGCAGTGTTAACATGTATTAGTTCACACAAACACTCCATCCATGCTTTTGTTCCGGCCCTCCGGTCCAGTTTAGGAACCCATCGTGGCCCTCCAGTCAAAAAGTTTGCCCACCCTGAGTCTGGCCCCACTGAACTGCGAGCTTTTTAGCTGCTGCGTATAACTGCCACTGAGAACAGTATCTGGCATTCAAACGAGTACATGGATGGAGGAAGACACCAGCCCTGGTAGCCAATACTTGTTGGCCGCCCAGCAGACAGCTCTAAACTGAGAATCCCAATTAAGCCCTAACTGTTTTGGCTCAGTGGATAGAGCATCAGCCTGCGGACTCAAGGGTCCCAGGTTCAATTCCGGTCAAATGCATGTACCTTGGTTGCGGGCACATCCCCAGTAGGGAGTGTGCAGGAGGCAGCTGATTGATGTTTCTAATTCTCTATCCCTCTCCCTTCCTCTCTGTAAAAAATCAATAAAATATATTTAAATAAATAGTCATCGAGTTTAAAAAAAATCGCAATTAAAAAAAATTGTTTAGACTCTGGATGTAGCTCTTGAACAGCAATGAGAATCTTGCAACTTTATCATGACAAAATTTACCACATTCTGGGTTGAACCTAAACCTTTTCACGTGTTGTTTCATAGTCCTCCCTTCTTCCCCCTTTTACTCTTCATGTTATATAGAAAATGAACTATGAAAAAATACTTATCCCTTACAAGTAAATAATACATTTAATCCCTGGTCACCCACCCCCTACTGCTTAACCCATACGCTGGCACTGCTGCCAAGACAAGTTACCAAATAGTCTTATAGTATTTCAACTTTATTTTTTGATTGTGAATTAGCAAAACACACCATTGTGTTTATAAAATCTGAAATGGAAAAACAAAATTACAGTTTGTTTTCAAGCTTCACTGATCTGGGTGACACTTGCCTTCATAGGATAGACTCATGTTTTAGGAGAACCAAGACAATGTCTTAGAATTTAAAATCAAGAAAGAAAATTCTGACAAGTTATTAAAAATAGCTTATCCAGCCCTGGTCGGTGTGGCTCAGTTGGCTGAGCATCATTCACGCACCAAAAGGTCACCAGTTCAATTCCCGGTCAGGGCACATGAAGGAAGCAGCTGATGGATGTTTCTCTCTCAAATCAATAAATACATATTTTTAAAATAATGTATATCAAAACTATATTTGCATTTGAAGTTGCCCGCTTAATCATGACAAATCTCCTACACATATTATGAGGTAGGCTGTTTAAGGGTTAGTATTCTTTTTGCTAAAAATACTAGACTGTGAAAACATTCCACAAAACACACATAAATAGAATGTATGAATTAAAGTCATGCCTTGTTCTACTACTTCATTTTAATCAGAGATTAAAATATACTCTATTTTAAATTCAGGTCAAAGAAACACATTCACACATGTTATACACAAGGACAATTTTAATCCTGCATTTTCCTGCAGTAACATCCACTGCTGACTATATATGGATTGAAACTGCATTTGCCAAGAACTGTGAACATTAAGAATCTTTACATGAAGTCACATGTGTTGATATAGGCATACAGACATCTTCCAGCACCAACAGCATACATAACACACACCGCATGGTCTCGATGGATGAATTTGCTTCATCAGATAATCATATTTAGTAAAATTCACAGTTAATGCAGAATTTCTTTTTTAAATTTACATCTTTACTACACATTCTAAGATTTTAATTATTTATAAAAACATTCAAGATTGTAATTTGCATGGCAATAAACAATAGGTTCTAAATTTATTAAAAGAATCTATAGCAATTAAAATACCACCAGTCTTCAACTTGTAGCACCTGGCTTAAGACCTTTATAAAAACAAAAGTTTAAATTTGTTTAGTGCATTCATTATAATGGTGTTTCTCTTGTGAGAAAAACATGTTTCAGTTGCTATTTCCCAGACAATATATTGAACATGGGTTTATAATATCTGCAACTGGTTAGCAGGAGTTTACACTCAGATAGCCAGAACAAGGCCTCTGTAAATGGCCTTCCACTCAGAACGATGACAATGTATGAAACGGGTTTGGGGTCTGCCCCCTACTTAACATTATTAAACATGTTTCCAAGTATTCTTGGAAAATATTTTAAAATACAGGTGTAATAGTCTACTATATGAATGCACCATCATTTCTTTAACTATCTCCCAATTGTTCATTTATATCATTTGCAGTTTTTTTGACAGTAGGAGTAACATCTTGATGAACATAAGACATACCTTTAGGATAATGTCAAAGAAGTGGTTACTAGGTCAAACAGTGCAGATGGTTTTAAGGCTTGTCATATACTTGATGAATAATATTCAGAGTAGCCTGAACAACTCCAACCAGCAGTATGTTTACGGGCCCACAAAGTGGACTTGGTTGGTAACAATGAAGCCCATTCAACCACAAATCTATCAGATGCTCAGGCATCTCAGAACTATCACACCGAAGAAGCAAGGAGATGATTATGCCTGGGGATGAAGCCCAATTACAATTCTTTAAAACGTCACTCAGCTTTAAACCAGATTAAATCACGACCATTTGGAAAATGATACACAAAATAAACTTCCCACAAAAAGTCTACAGTGTTTTTCCAAAAATAAAAAGTTTAAAAGACAGAAAGAGAAGTCAGGACCAAGTGACCAAAAATTTTTATTTGACTAAATTCTATTTCATGCATAAGCATGACAGTCTCCCCTGTTTATAGGACTTTGGCAATAAAAAAACAAAACAAAACACAAGCAGCCTTGTACAGAACAGTGAAAATGCCAAGGGCGAGGGTAGTCCACAGTTTTACTGTAGGATAAATATTTTTTCTTTTCAAAAGGCCTCTCCCCCTTTGGCCAACTCTCAGTTCAGACCATTAAATACAGACAAATTCTCAAAATCACTTCTTCACTTCTCCAAGATCTTCAATACTATCATCATCCACCTATAAAACACAAATTACATCTCATGAGTTGTGATAGAAAATAACATGAAAGCAACCTGCCATAGTAACGTATTTCTACAGATGTGTATGGTCCATAGACTCACCTCTGGCCATTTTTCCTGAATGACATCAATGATGTCGTCTGTAAAGTCTCCCTGAATGATGATCTCATCCTCCCCTGTCACTGAGGCACCACAGGAGAATTTTTGAGCAAAAAATCTTTGTGCTTCTTTAAGATCAATTTCTGTTATTTTAAGAAAAGAAACAACAAAAGTATAATCAGAATTGTGTGTCAAGGACATTTTTCCATTTTGAAATTTAATCTGCATTTTAAATTCATAAAACAGATTGCATTCATGGGTTTCATATTCCTTTCAGAACAATAATCACCATCACAGGCAGTGGTCTTAATGCAACAATTCAAGGTAAACATACAGCCTCTGTACATAAAAATACCATCACCCATAATATTCATGACTCATATAGTAAGATCAAAATAAATCCAGGGCCCTAGCTGGTTTGGCTCAGTGGATAGAGTGTAGGCCTGCAGACCAGAGTCCCGGGTTCAATTCCAGTCAAGGGCATGTACCTCGGTTGCAGGCTCCTCCCCAGCCAGGGCCCTGGTCAGGGTGCATGCAGAAGGCAACCAATCAATGTGTTTCTCCCACATAGATATTTCTCTTTGTCTTTCCCCCTCTCTAAAAAAATCAATGCAAAAATATCCTTGGATGAAGGTTTAAAAAATAATAATAAACAAACAAATAAATAAATAAATCCAGGAACACATGAATTCCATTACATATACACTTCTGAGTACAATGAAGTTCTTTTGTTTATATCCCTTTCTTTATTCTTCTGTATCTCTTAAAAAAAAAAAAAAAGATAATTTACAGCAGAGAAATAAACCTAATATTTGTAATGTGGTCCAGTGATTGTTTTCCAATCTGTGTTGTCACACAAAGGGACCTTGATTTGCAGTTTCACTATTCATTCAAGGCCTCCCCGCAGGACCTTCTGCCACCACCACCTTCCCTCACCCTCTACTGTCATTCCCAGAGGGGACGAGTCATTTTGCAACCCTCCAAGTTACAGGGCCAAAGGAGCAGCACTCACTGGTGGGCGTCAAAAGGAACCCTATCCTTGCCCTCTTCATTCTACATAAAATGTGCCCATGTAGGAATTCTGGAGAGGAAAAAGTTAAACCAGTTCTTCTCTGCAAAAGACATTAAAATGTCTTCCAAATTTGATTTTGAAGCTATAGTAACAAATGCAGAATCTTATCCTGTATCTTCTTAGCAAAAACAGACCCATGAAATTTTTATGATTCCAGATTTTTAGAAAGAGAAATATATAGAGAGTTCACATGCTTTAAACACACTTAAGATCAAAAAGCAACTGTTTGTTACATTTGTTGCTTGGTGTAAAAAAAGAAAGAAAATTGTCTTTTAAAAGAAACTCTGTGTGTCCTAATAATTGCTCTGGAAGGAAATAAAAAGAGGTTTCCTTCAAACACATGGAAAACTGTAATTAAAAATCAATATATTAGGTCTCAATAAGAAAAGTAAGTAATTTGTATTTTTGCCTCCCTAAACAAAGCTAATGTAAGGTTATTCAAAGACTAATAGCAGAAATTTAATTAATGTCATTTACTTTCTATAACCTAGGACAGTGGTCAGCAAACTCAATTAGTCAACAGAGCCAAATAACAGTACAACGAATGAAATTTCTTTTGAGAGCCAAATTTTTTAAACTTAAACTATATAGGTAGGTACATTGTTATTAACTTAATTAGGGTACTCCTAAGGCTTAGGAAGAGCCACACTCAAGGGGCCAAAGAGCCGCATGTGGCTCGCGACCCGCAGTGTGCCGACCACTGACCTAGGACAAGTGAAGTTAAAAAATAAACCTTGTATCAGATTGGTTTAAATTGGCTAATTAAAATAAATGAAATAAAACAAAAAACACACTTAAGATTAAACTCACCAAAAGTTGCAAGGCCACACACCCTTGTTACGTATTTCTTCTTTGCTCTGGGAATTTTGGCTATCGTAACCTTTTGTGGTACAGTCTTCTTTTTTTGTTTTATTTGACCCCTTCCACCTTTATTTATTAAGGAAGAACTTAGCATTAGTTGTTTCACTTTCAACATAGTTAGAGAATACTGTCTTTAAAGTTGTTAACTTTCAAAAGGTACCAAATTTTATTTCTACAGTTGCTTGTTCTAATACAAAATTAATGAACACGTGCATGAGTATTCATTTAATAGATATTTAAGTAATATGTGCCAACCACTGAACTAAGGACACAAAACGAACAGAACACAGCCCCTTCAAGGATTCTCAAGTCTAGTCAAGTGCAACAAGAAAAGTTAAATCTAGCCCAGCCAGCATGGCTCAGTGGTTGAGTGTCGACCTATGAACCAGGAGGTCATGGTTCAATTCCGGGTCAGGACACATGCCTGGGTTTTGGGCTCGATCCCCAGTGTGGGACATGCAGGAGGCAGCCAATCAATGATTCTCTCTCATCATTGATGTTTCTATCGCTCCCTCTCCCTTCCTCTCAGAAATCAATAAAAAAATATATAAAAATAGAAATGTTAAATCTTTACAGCAACCTGCTATTCTAAATAATCCTATATAATAAAAGGCTAATATGCAAACTGTCCCCTAAGGAGTTCGACTGACCAGGAGTTACACCCACTGGGAGTTTGACCATTGCTATGACATGCGCTGACCACCAGGGGACGGCATGGAATGATGAAAGGCCCCAGTCTGCAGCTGGCAGCCGAGGGAAGGAAGGCCCAATCAGCCCTGATCGCCGGCCAGGCCTAGGGACCCTACCAGGCCTCTAGTATACTATACCTAGAGGCCAATGCACAAAATTCATGCAAGAGTAGGCCTTCCTTCCCCCGGCTGCCAGCACCGGCTTCCCCTCCAGCCGCCGGAAGGCACCCGGGACCCAGGCTTCCCTTGCAGCCTCGGCTTCAGCTGGAAAGTCGTCCAGGAGGATGTCCAGTCTAATTAGCATTTTATGCTTTTATTATGAGATAGGATCCATAAATATGACACTACCACAGCTTCGAAGAGGAGCGGCTAACCCTGCTTCTGAAGGACAGAATAGATTTCCTAGTGGAAGTGGCATCTAAGCTCCTGCAGAATAAGGAATTGTCCTGGCTGGAGAGGTTTAAGAAAGAACATTCCAGGAAAAGGAACGAGTTCAGAGGTAAGAAAAGGCATTATATCTGAGAGCTACACCTGTCTTGATGAAGCACACTATGGATATGCAGCAGATAAAGCCGGAAAAGCAAAAAGTTCTGTATCAGTCATTAAAGGAACAGTACATCAAGCTTGTAATTTGATTTTACATTGAAGGAGATAAGCCACTGAATGTGCAGGAGTAAGACGACCAGATTTATGTTTTGTCAAGATCACCCTACAGTGTGGAGGGTGGGTCTGTGAAGAGTTAGGCTGATTGGGAGGCCACGGAGCCTGCATTAGTTCAGGCAGAAATTAATCAAAATCTAAACCAAAGCAATGGCAATAGCAACGGCCACTAGGCACAGGATAAAGACAGTAAGTAAGAGAGAAATGTAACAGAATTTAGAACTGACTAAAGGGACAAAACGAGAGAACCTAAGATGGGTCTCAGATTTCTGGCTCAGATGACTGGGTAAACTGTGCTGTCATTAACTAAAATAGGGGAAACAAAAGACACAGATTTGGGACTTAGAAAGTTTACTTTGGAAATCCTGCATCTGAGGCGCCTATGGCACCATGCACATTCCCCATGTAGAGACATGGGCCAGGACCAGAGATACAGATTGGGGACTTCTAAGTGTCCAAGTTACGAACGTCGAACAATCACCCTAGGACAGTGGTCGGCAAACTCATTAGTCAACAGAGCCAAATATCAACAGTACTTCTTCAAAATAGACTCGCCCAGGCCGAAAACCGACTTCTGCGCATGGGCCACGAAGTTTCAATCGCATTGTATGCACGCCCACACGTGGAAATTTGGTGGAAGAGCCACACTCAAGGGGCCAAAGAGCCGCATGTGGCTCACAAGCCGCAGTTTGCCGACCACGGCCCTAGGAGAACAAGCAGAATGAAAGGTCAGAGGGCAGAAGACAGAATCCAGGGAAACATCAACTGAGGGACAGAAGGGAGAAGTCTGCACAGAAGACTGAGGAAGAGTGATAGGATGAAAAAGAACGTCACAGAAACCAAGGAAGTACAGCACTTCAAGAAAGGAGTCCTCAAATGCTCTTATCATTATTTAGCAATTACTGACCTTTATTAGAGGGTTTCAGTAGCATGAAAGTTAGGTTAGGACAGACTGGGCAGTGAACAGGAAGCGAATGGCTAAGAAGGGAAGCAGGGGGATAAGGCAAAGAAAGACATGGGCTCTTTGGAAATTTTTTGAAAAGATGCAAAGTCCTAAAAATATCTATAGGCTAATTTTAGTCACGGGGAGAATAATTAAGGAAGAAGAAACAGGAAGGGACAGGATCCAGAGGAGAGACAGACAGGTATATGCAACATCAGTAAAAAAACTGTCAACTGAGCTGTCAGAATAAGAAAAAATTTATATAAATGTTCTCGCTCTAATTAAATAGGATACACAGATAGTTTAATAAGGCAACAAAGTTTTCACATCATCAAGTTGGCTGGTTGCTTTTTACATATGTATACGGCAAATAAAGCATGTTTTCTTAGGTCTAATTTGCTGATAAAGCCACAAATCATTCCGGATCCAATTCCCCCCTGAAAACAAGATTCTGTACCCCTCTGAATGATATTCATGAATTACAATTACAGGCGGGCGTTACTGATGTTGGAAATGCTTTCATCACCGATTTCCACTGGCAGAGGGAAGGGAAGTTTGTGTCCATCAAATCGTGGAGTTAGGTCTCACCTCTCTTTTGTTTTTTCTTTTCTTCCTCTTCTCCTGCTGGTCCTTGACCCTCACTAATTCCAGCTTCTTGTTTGGGTGAATTTTCTAGATGTAAAAACAAATTTCAAAAGCATTAACATCACTTCCTACTAATGTAAAAAAATCAAATCACCTTTGAGCAACCCCATACAAAAATAATCAATTTTACAACAATTGAGCGTGACTATTATTTTTGTTAAGCCTCACCCGAGGATATTTTTTCCATTGATTTTTAGAGAAAGTAGAATGGAGGGAAGGGGAACAGGGGAGAGACGGAGAGAGAGAGAGAAGAGAGGCATTGATGTGAGAGAGACACATCGATTGGTTACCTCTCGCATGGCCTGACCAGGACTGGGGATCGAACCTGCAGCCCAGGTACATGCCCTTGACCGCGGATCGAACTAGAGACTCTTCAGTGCACAGGTCGATGCTCTAACCACTGACTCACATCAGCCAAGGCCTTCCCCAATAATTATTATCTCCCTGTTCCCTGTTTATCACTACTTAACATAATTATGTCATTTGTCTCATTTTACTTATTTTATTTGTCTCCCCTTCGAGAATATAATTTCCAAACACATCTTTTGTTTGCTGCTTTATCCTCATCATTTGAAACAGGGTGTAGCATATAGTATGCTCACAGAAATAATTTGTTAAATGACTGAGTGAAAATATATTTTTGCCCCTAAATCATTTACTCTTCTTTATATAAAAAAGGTGGTATTTTTAACATACGCTGTCTCAGAGACAGAAGACACAGGAAGCAGTGTGTGATTTGATATAAGGAATTTTAACCCAAGAACTTAAGATAGTTTTAAAGTTCATAAGTATAGGTTATAATTCTGTAATTATCCTACTAAAAGAAGACTTTTTGTATCTTTAAAATAATACCTTATGTGCATTTGTTTGGGTATACAAGTTTTGATGAAAGAAAAAAAATGTTCATACCTACTGTAAGTTTTGCGAACTCATTTGGAAAATTCTTCTCTAACCACTGTCTACATTTAGCAACATCAGGCATATATTCACAGTACTGGGTGGGAAAAGAATAAACAGAGTTACAACAAAACATTTTCAATCAACCAATATATTTTCATTTAAAAGCATTCCCAGTACTTGCTACATAAAGAATGATAAAACTAACTACTTCCACCTGCTGTCTTATCCACAGGAAATCTATATTCAACCAGGAAACACCCCATAAGAAATCAGAAATAAAAAGAAATTAGGCAGCTCCTCACTGTAGTAATTTCTTTCTTTTCCATCAAACAGAAGGGCCATTAGAAAGGGAACAAACAAAAACAAGTACATCTACTTCTTGCTCTGGGCACATGGGTGCCTCATTATTTTCATGGCTTGCCCACAGAGCCTGACTTAGAAGCTTATTAACAGAAGTCTTACACATAATTCATGCTTTCCTCTGCTTGCATGTCAAATTTTGGCTTTAAAGTTACTCTTGTTTTATTAGCTGACTGACTATTCATGAGTGCCATGCAAAAACCCAAACTGTATGGCTAAGTGCAAAAGATGTACACATGAGACTCAAAATCTAAAGATTAATTTGTAATTCCATAAAATTATTCTAAACCAAGTTTGTCTATTAAAAGGTTGAAAATCTACTACTAAATGATAGAAAATGAAAAATAAGAAAAAATTTCTCAAGATAGCTGTAAAATCAATGATCTCAAATACAGAAATTAAAAGAATTTTAAAAGAACTTACCTCTGTTGGTAATGAACACACTGGGGAAATGGAGAGAAAAAGATTTAGAAATTTAAATACACACACACACAGCACTCATCATAACTTTAATTTAAAATTGACAAAATGCCTCATTTGTACTTTTTTCTATATTTTTTCTGTACTACTTTTCAAATGCTACCATCATGCCTTGCTTGTTTGAGGCAAAAGGCACATGGTTAATATCACACTTATAAATTTCAGTGGCACTTTGCTACCATTTCTTTGCAATATACTTTCTCCTTTTCCTATTACTAAAAATAATAAAATAAAATCAATTTCCCTCTACAAATCACTTACTATTTGTAAACTAACTTTTCAAGGCAAAAATCTCACAGTCACCTTCAAATGTCACATCACTAAGTGGAACAACCTGACATTATATGGGGATGATCTTATAGTTATGCTGTGTCAATCTGACCATTTTTTCTTTCTTAGTGGAACCTAAAATAATGGTACATCTTATAAAATAAAGAATTCCAGATTTGATGAAACAGGATATAAAGAATAGCTCTTAACTACACAAGTATACTTTTCTAATAATAATAATAATAATAATAATAATAATAATAGTTAGCATTTATCGTAATACATTCTTTTTTTAATATATTTTAATGATTTTTTTACAGAGAGGTAGGGAGAGAGATAGTCAGAAACATCAATGAGAGATAAACATCGATCAGCTGCCTCCTGCACACCTGCCACTGGGGATGTGCCCACAACCAAGGTACATGCCCTTGACCGGAATCGAACCTGGGACCCTTCAGTCCGCAGGCCGACGCTCTATCCACTGAGCCAAACCCGTTAGGCCGTACATACATTCTTGTCTTAGTTGCTGTACCAGAAGCTTGATACGAATCATCTGACTTATTTTATAGGCCTCATGAAATAAGCCTCTAGCCCTCAGTGAAGTTTGTTAACTTGCCCACGGTCAGGTAGCTGGTGATGCTGGAGTCAGGATGCAAACTCTGGCCATGACTCTAAAGTCAAACAATATAACCCAGTAAAACACATATATAACAAAACTCAGCCAACACTACAAGAAGTTCCCCCGCCTACTCTCTTACTGAGGTATTTTACACTAATTTTAAATTACTATCAAAGGTACTTTTTAAATGTTTTTATTGATGTCAGAGAGAGGAAGGGAGAGGGAGACAGAGAAACATCCATGATGAGAGAGAATCACTGATTGGCTGCCTCCTGCACGCCCCCCACCAGGGATGGAGCCCGAAACCCTGACCGGGAATCGAACCATGACCTCCTGGTTCATAGGTTGACGCTCTACCCCTGAGCCACACCCACCAGGCACTATCTATAATAATAAAAGGGTAATATGCAAATCAACCAGATGGCCGAACAGCGGATGATCTTCCAGACAACCTTCTGGATGAAGCTGAGGCTGCGAGGGCCGAGGCAGCTGCCGCCAGGGCTGCGAAGGCCTACTCTTGCATGGATTTTGTGCATCGGGCCTCTAGTCAAAGATATTCAATAAAGGATGAGTTGATACAACTTTTTAACTCAGTAACATCGCCTCTCCTTCTACAGTCCTTGAACTCCAGGGGAGGAGGTCTCTATTCCACTCACAGAATGTAGGTCCATGAAAACAAGGATCTTTTCTGACTTACTCCCTATGCAGTCCCCAGCACCTAAAACATTGCTAGGCACATAATAACTGGTCAAATATACTTTAAAAAATTAGTGTTTAGCCGAAACCGGTTTGGCTCAGTGGATGGAGCGTCGGCCTGCGGACTGAAGGGTCCCGGGTTCGATTCCGGTCAGGGGCATGTACCTGGGTTGTGGGCGCTTCCCCAGTGGGGGATGTGCAGGAGGCAGCTGATTGATGTTTCTCTCTCATCGATGTTTCTAACTCTCTATCTCTCTCTCTTCCTCTCTGTAAAAAATCAATAAAATATGTTAAAAAAAAAAATTAGTGTTTACTTGCCCTTTTACTGTCTTGTACCTTCAAAGTTTTCTGAGACTTTCGAAGATGCTAATAAAGTTAGAGCATTTCCGCCCTAACTGGTTTGGCTCAGTGGATAGAGCGTCGGCCTACGGACTGAAAGGTCCCGGGTTTGATTCCAGTCAAGGGCATGTACCTGGGTTGCGGGCACATCCCCAGTAGAGGGTGTGCAGGAGGCAGCTGATCGATGTTTCTCTCTCATCCATGTTTCTAACTCTCTATCTCTCTCCCTTCCTCTCTGAAATCAATAAAATATATATATTTTTTAAAAAATTAGAGCATTTCCAATTCACAAATATTTCTGTATTGAAAATGAGGCAAATATTCAAAGGAGGGAATCCTGATTTAGGCTAATATATATATATTTGTTAATCCTCACCCGAGGATATTTTTCCATTGATCTTTAGGGAGAGTGGAAGAGAGAGGGAGGGAGAGAGAGAGGGAAAGACAGAGAAACATGGATGTGAGAGAAACAAACACATTGATTGGTTGCCTCCTGCAGGAGCCCCAACCAGGGCCCGGGCCAGGGAGAAGCCTGCAACCAAGGTACACGCCCCTGACGGGAATAGAACCCGGGGACCCTTTGGTCTGCAGCCCGAGGCTCTATCCACTGAGCCAAACCGGCCAGGGCTATTTTTAATCAAACCAAGAACCCTGTCCCAAGACTGTCCTTCCACACACATCGCTGAAACCCCCTCCTCCTCCTCCTCGCTCCTGACACCCTCCCTCTGCTACACTCGCACAAAGCTGTTCGCGCCTACAGGCGTGCACCAAGCTTTTTCCTCCCCGCGTCCCTGTCATATCCGAGAAGCGACCTCCTTTAACAGCGAGACTAGCCAGTAACATCCGGCTGAAACCGTCTATCTGCATGTCTCTCTTCCAACAGGACTGTTCGCTTCGCCGGGGGGCCAGGTAACAAGGCACAAGCCCCGCACAGGTGGGGAAAATGTGTTCATCTCTCCCGTCTCAAATGAAGGATGCACCCCGCGACGAAGACCGATGGAAAAAGGAGGAAGGGAACCAAACGTGAAACGATGATCACAAGGCATACACACACAGTAAGCAAAAAACACAACAACAAAAACAACAAAAAACGCTGCGGCACACTTGCCTCCGCAGTAAAGGACCCGGAGGGGGTAATCGGCATCTAACTTGGTATTGCTCCTGGAGTCTCCTTTGCAGTCATGGCCCCCGGATTCGGAACTGTCAGCAGCCATCTCACAGACCTGTAAGCCGGGGGAAAAGAACACACATCTGCACGACCGCGGGCCGCGACCCCGGGGCAGCCGTGCCCGGGTGTGGCCCTGCCTCGTCCCCCACCAGGAATAACCCGAACCCCAAGTCCGTTTCATCTCCCCGCTGTCAAGTGGATGATGAGGATACAAGCTGCCATTAGGATTCACAAAACGCGAGCCGCTCCGGGCGGACACAGGGCACACCGTCTTTATCAGGCCTACGGGGAAGCAAGCGCCTGGGGGGCAGAGGGCACTCGTCCAAGAGGAAAGAATGGGGGGAAGAACGGGCAGGGCAACTTCGGTGGAGACCGGGAGGGCAAAAGGTCTGGGGTGACTAGGTAGGGGTGCAAACCCGCGGCAATAAAGGCCACCCAAAGGCCCCACAAAGAAGGGGTGGGTCCCCGGAGGTGCCCCGAGGGCAGGGTGTGGGGGCAGCTACACGCCAAGGGAGTCAGGAGCCGGGATGGGAGTGGGAGAGGGCGGGGAGACCAGAGTCTCGGGAGAGAAAATAGGGCAGGAGAGCCGAGGAGGCGCAGAAAGTAAGGGAACTGGGGTGACAAGGGCGGTCCAGGTGGGAGAGCGGGGACCGGGAGCCAAGGGGCTAATCCCGGGGACAACCGAGGGGCCCATGTGGGCGGGGATGTGGAGACGCCCGGCCCCTTCCGCCGGGCGCAGCACCTTAGCTTCCCCCCGCCCCACACGCTCTCTACACGCGATTCTCCCAAGTGGGAAAGATCACGGGGGACCGTTTACCCGGGCGGTCGTACAGCCGCCGACGCCTCCGCTCCCGCCACTACCGCCAGCTGAAACGACACATGCGACTCCTCTTCTCCGGCCCGGGCCACTCGAGAGCCCGTCTGCCGGCGCGGTCCCGCGAGACAATGAGCCTTTATCGCGAGACTCAGGCCGCCGCTGGGTGGCTGTCGCGAGAAGCCGGGGAGGCGTGGAGGACGTGCGGAGCATGCGCGTGGCGTTCGGGGGCGGGGCCGAGCCGCCGAGGGTCCGATAACCAGTAGGCGGTGCTCGTGACCCGCGAGAGAGGTCGGGTGGCGGGCGGCCTGAGCGGGCGCGGGGAGGCCGATCGGAAACGTGCGTCGAAGTCCGCAGTGACGCCGGGTGAACGGGCCGCGCAGTCTGGGATGCGTCCTCCAGGACGCCTGTTGGATGAATCAGCCCTCCGCCAGGAGACTGCAGCTGGGAAAAACGTTTTCGTTACATCTCAGCCCTGTTCCCTACGTTGGCAGAATTACTGTTGAAAAGATGATGCCAGCGCTGTTCAGGTTTTTCTCCTCGGCCACATTCTCACGACTGTTTTCATCGCCTTCTTCTTGTGCACCGATCCTTGCGTGTGTCGTACCCTGGAATTGATCTCATCTCAGGCTTTCCCTGGGAATAACGCTGCCACCTTTGCAGGAAAGAATGGGGACCAAGATGTGCTTCGTAGAGGGTGGAGGGGGTTCTTTTCTGGTTTGCTTTACCCACCAACTCATTCTCCTCCTTCGCTGCCAACGTCATTCGCCACCACCATCAGCAGCAGCATCCTCAAATTCTCTGCCCAGAACTTACCTTGTGTCCGGCAGGTGTGGCTCAGGGGTTGAGCAATGACGTATGGACCAGGAGGTCAGGGTTATGTGTTCCTGGAGGCACATGCCCAGGTTGTGGGTTCGATCCCCAGTGTGGGGCCGTGCAAGAGGCGGCCAGTCGGGGATTCTCTCTCATCATTGATGTTTCCATCTCTCTCTCTTTTTTAATATATTGATTTCAGAGAGGAAGGGAGAGGGAGAAAGGGAGAGAAACATCAATGATGAGAGAGAATCATTGATTGGCTGCCTCCTGCACATCCCCTATTGGGGATTGAGCCTGCAACCCAAGCATGTGGCCTTGACTGGAATCGAACCCCAGGATCTTCAGTCCGCAGGCCGATGCTCTATCCACTGAGCCAAACCAGCTAGGCCCTAGCTGCTAGTGCGATGTTTCTATTTCTTGATCCCTCACCCTTCCTCTCTGAAATCAATAAAAATGTATATTTTTAAAAAAACAAAACAACTCTGTGTGTCCATGAAGCCATCTGGCATAATAGTTTCCACCAGGGACCATGGCCTCCACTCTGACATCTTTCTTCAATAAAAGAGGAGTTTCCCCCTCACAAAAAGAGTCGTTTCTGCATGACATCAGTGAAAGAAGATCTTGTTCCCAAGCATGTTTGGTTCCGATAATAATAGCTCCCAGCAATAATAACAGCTTCCATTTATTGACACCCACTTCCCACTATGTGCCAAGAACCTGCTCTTTGGGGCATGCAGAGTCCAGGGGGACTCATTCCACAAAACTTTCTCAGATTCCCACTATGCTCCAGGCACTGTGCTAGGCACTGGGGGATGCCGTGAGCAAGGGACGTCTCTACTCTCACTAAATGGTCTTAGACATGTTAGTTGATTTCATCCTTACAAAAACCCCTTGATGCCCTGGCCCGTGTGGCACAGCTGGTTGGAGCGTCGTCCCCCATACACCAAAAGGTTGTGGGTTCGATTCCCGGTCAGGTGTGTACAGAAGGCAACTGACCGATGCTTCTCTCTCACATCGATGCTTCTTTCTCTCCCTCTCCCTTCCCCTCTCTCTAAAATCCATAAGCATATTCTTGGGTGAGGATCACAGAAATAAATAAATAAAGCCTTGGCCTGTCTCCCTTCCTCCTGCCAGGATCATGAACATAGCCAGGAGGGAGTACCACAGCCATCTTGCAACAAGAGAGGCCTGAGAATAAAGGAAAATGTGCAAAGGATTATGGACTGGGACATATAAATAGCCTGTGTCCCCGACAGCCCCTAACTGTCTGGCTTCTGGGGCTTCCTGTTGTGAAACACACACACACACACACACACACACACACACACACACGCACGCACATACACGCACGCGCTATCTGGCTAAATTAACCGCAGGAGCGTTTTCGATTATACTGCAGAACACATTTCTAAACGATGCTTCCAGAAAGTCAGATGTTTCCTTTAAGACAAGAGTGAAACATGCTGTCAAGCAAAGCATGCCTGAAGGAAGGGGACAACGGGGAGGCCGAAGGAGGATGGGGAAGTAATGTTGCAAGACCCGCGCCGTTCAGGGGAAGCGCGGGAGGAAGCGGCACGCGGACGCTTTCTGAGAAGTCCCCTCTCAAAGAAAACCAGCTTCCCTGGCTCCTGGGATGAGAAGTGACTCATCACCACACATGCCACCTTGTACACCATCATCTGTTTTCTCAAGAATGAGAGGGCGGTTGTTTTCCCCACTTTTGGGGACAGCACCTGGTGTCATGGTGGTAACGGTGATGGATGGATTGACTGATTCAAGGGCAGATCAATCAGAGTAAATCCCCGCACGTGTTGAAGGCGCTTCTAGAAAAGAGGCTCTTTCCCATTGGATTTGAGTCTCAAGGATGCTGGCAGCCGCCTTGCCACCATGTGGCTTGGGAACTGAGTCCACAAGAAGGAGAGAAGAGCTGGGAGAGAGACCGTTTGACCCCTGATTTCAGCACATCTGAGCTCAGCTCTAACTCTGGATCTTCCAGATATAAAAGTCAACAATTTCCCACTTTTGTTTAAGCCGGTTTTAATTGGAATGTCACTTTCAGATTAGTTCTGATGGACACAAGGGGTTAGGGCTGGGGCAGCCCTGACAGAGGTTTATTAAGACCTGTTCTAGCCCTATTCTGGTCAATCTCTCTCACTGATGTTTCTCCCTCTCTGTCTCTCCCTTCCCTTCCACTCTCTCTCTCTAAAAAATAAAATAAAATAAAATAAAATAAATCAGTGGGAACAAAAATGTCTTTGGGTGAAGATTAACAAAAAAAGACCTGTTGTAGCCCAATGTTTCCCATTTTCTCCATTATAACACACACAGTGGATACTATGCCCTCACAGAGCACAATATCAGAAACAAATCTACAGTTTAATAAAACCACCAAATGACTGCAAAGATGTAAAATAACATAATAATTTATCATTTTCACAACTAATTGCAATTCATATGTAAGTAGGTTGCTATGGACTATGGCAGATTAAATGGGCAGTCATTTTGCCCTGGCTGGTGTGGCTCAGTTGGTTGAGCATCAACCCATGCACCGAGAGGTCACAGACTCAATTCCCAGTAGGGGGAGTGCAGGAGGCAGGCAATGGATGTTTCCCTCTCTCTCTCTTCTTCCCTCTATAAAAATAATCAATAAAAACATTTTTTTAAAAAAAGATGTCATTTCATTCCTTCCTCTCCTACCCAAGACTTTGGAGTTTTTAGAACAAGGCCTGGCCCAGAGAGAAACGTACAGAGAGAAATAGGGCTAACCTTCAATCTGTCTCATTTGTTTGCATAAATAACATTTCAAATTCTAGTACTTTCATATTAGCAATAAAGCACCAGACACATACCATACATTCATGGATGGAGACACCCATGAACGAGGACTGCTAAGTAAATTGGGCTCAATTATCCCAAGCTATATGAGTTACCTGCAAAACGAATACATCCATTTGTTATCTCTGGTCTAAATTAAAAATGTGTAATCTTTTTCTGAGAAGAGAGTTGTATCACTTTTCTCTCTTGAAAGGATAGATATCCTTCAAGAATATCTTTCTCAAGAATAAGATGACACCTTTCTCTTGAGCCTTGGATGTTCAAACTTGGTTTATAAAACAATTTAATGAAATGTATTGGATGCATGAAAATTTCACATTTCAGCAAATGTGAGACGTGCTTATGCTTGGAAATTCCGGGTCAGTGTATGGCGCTAACTTTGTACTATGCTCACAGCTTTTCTGTATGTTTGAAATTACTTCAAATTTTAAATTTCTTTGAAAGAAAACTCTCTTTTATTTTTTCAACTCTTGGCTTCTTCCCTGTGGTTTCATCACATTACAAAATATTGGGGTTGTTTTCTACTTGGTTAGCAACCCCAGAAGAGAGATGAGCTTTCCACATTTCCAGCAAACAACTCGGGTTGGTAT